GAGAAATTTTTGCATGAAATTTGAACACTTTTTTAAAAGCTTAAAAATATTCAAAATAATTTTATTAAAAATAAAAAAAGATCGATAAAGTTAGCATTTGCAAGGTATCGCATGACACATAGGGATTTTATTTTCATTTCTTATTTCTATTTCTTTGTTATTTTTATTTTTTTTAACTGTGTTATCTAAATTTATATAACAAATTAAAATCCGATTACTTAGGGCTTATACTGACAATTTTTTTTTAAATTATGATTCACAACATTAAAGTTTGTTTTATAATAATTAAAAAAAAAAATAATAAAAATTCCAGCTGTTAAAACAAGTCTGGCAAGTTTAAACTAAAAAATTTTGGGTTAGTCATATGCTAGTTGCCTTTATTTGCAAAAGTAAATTTTTAAAACTAGTATGGCTACATAAATATAAGAAGCTATCTAGTTTTCATTATTTTTAATTAAATTATTTATTAATAACGACAAATTTTCCAGTTTTATTTTCTCTGCGGGAAAATTCTTTAATATTTTCTCTGTTTTAAATTTATAAGAGATTACAATATGTAAAAAACTTCTCTTTTACACGAAATTTTATTTTAGAGATTTTGAATGGGTGCTCCAAAACAACAGACTTCAAATACGTTAATTTTTTTTAAAATATTTTACTGGGACAAAAGAAATCATGAGAATCTCGAATAAATAAATTTCATATTAAATTGTCGTATTGAAAAATTATTTTGTTTCTTGAAGTTGAAAAATTGCAATGAATGAAATTCTGTTTAAATGTGGACTGTCATTGTTCCTTTATTGGATTTGCTTTTTACATTTTCTTTTTTAAAGTGTAAAAATATTTTCAACAATTTCTTATATATTTGTGAATTATTTATATTCTTTACGTCAATTTACTAATTCTATATTATTGTCTATTTACCTGCCTTAAGTTTCTATGTGTTGAAATGTCTCTTGTATTTTTAATTTTATTTTTTAAACGTTTTACTCGTATATGTACAAAATTATGTACGGAGATGAGAGCTTTTTATTTACATTGCAAAGTTCATATATAAATTTTTATAGAATCACCAAAATAAATGTTATTTTTATTTTTTTTTTGGTACGTACACATACTCATACATTCATATTCGGTATGCTTTTGTTTAAATGGTCAGATGTGAAAAATACATTCATTAAAATTTAAAAAAATTATTTTTTCAAATTTAATGTAAGAACATTTAATGTTTTCCTTTAAGTAAATAATTTAAAATTCTTGAAAAATTGAAATCAAAATTTGAACAAAAAATTACAAATTTTAAATTGTATTAGTATTTGCCATAATTTCTTTTATTCGCAATTATTAGCTTCTACTACTAATGCATAAATTTAAAAAAAAAATTAAAGTTTAATTGCCATTTTTATCTTAGTTACACCTTCACATACGACAAAATCTTTGATTTAATTTGGTTCTGATGAAAGAATCAATTGATGATTTTCGTATATGAAAATCCTATTTGATATCAGACTTTGTCTGATGGCAAATAATAGAAATTTCTCTATTTTCATTAGACTTACTGCCAGATTTTACAGAAAAGTAAAATGATGACAATTAATTTTTTGTGTAAGTTTGGAACAGTGTACAATTGACGTTAATTTTAACGGCCATCAGATAATTTCATTCTGATATGTAAACATTCATTAGATTTTATATCGTAGATTTAATGTCAGATTTTGTTGTAAATGTAAAGAGTACTATATTTTTTTTTTGCTGAAATAAGTAATTATAATAATAATGTTTTGTATTTCAAATATTAAATTTAAATTTTTTTTTGCTTGTAATTGGAATACAATATAAAAATTAAAAAATGCTAAAGTGGCAACACTGATAATGCAAGATGAGCAAATTGGATTTGTTTTTTTTTTCTTTTTCTTATATATATTTTGCTGTAGTAGTGGTTATCAATATATAAAGTGATAATGACATATACCGGGGACAGATAAATATTTGCCGGTTAATGTATTGGATATTGTATTTTTTTTATTTAGTTAATAAGTATATTATTAAATGTGTATTTAAAATCAGATAAGTTTAAAATTTTAATTAAAAAATATGAAATTAAAGATTAATTCAATTTCAAATAAAAGTCAGTATTTAACAAATATAATATGTGCATATTTTGAAAAATAAATGCTGTTATACTTGTAGTTTTAGTATACCTAACTTTTGATTTAGTATACCGAAATGAATTGTGTACATTTATATACATATATAAATGTGTATATATATATATGTATATAAATGTATGTTAGAAATGACAGGTGTTTGAAGTTCATAACCTTTTACAAATATTTTTCTTATAAGATCATTTTCTCATTCATGATTTGAGTATTTCAAATTTAAGCGATATATTAAATGGTGTAATATGACCTTTCACATTCAACATAATGATCATAATTTTTAAATTAAGCAACGAAACTATTTTAGCTCATAGAAATAAAGCTAAATCAAATTCAATGAAATTTTAAAATTTATTTGCTGCCACGTAAGCAATTGTACGGAGAGACGTTGGTCCGTGGGAGTACAGTGTATATCCAGACGTGATATAACAGAGAAATCAATTCAATGATTACACTTTTACTACTCGAACTTTTCTCTAAATTCAATCTTCAAATTTATGTAAATAAATTTTTTTTGTTTCATATGTTTCTTCAAAATAATTTTACATAAATTACATGCATGAGTATTTGTATATAGGTATATACATAAGCACATTTTGAATAATTGCACTTTACATACATATGTATGTCCGTATATGGTTGATTTTTTTTAAATAAAATATAGTAAAAATTCAATGGAAATATTCTTTTCTCTTCTTCTAACTACATAAACATAGGTACTTCTAATCTAATAGAAATATTTGGAAATTATTAATGTTCATATAACATAAGAGAGACAATATAATTAAAAGAGAATGACAATAAGTAATTTTTTAGGAAAATATTTTCATAATCTTTTGTTTATTGCATTAGAAAATTTCTAAAAAAAAATTAAATTAAAATAATTAATAATCAAAAATTGTATTTTAAATAATTAGATACAATATTCTTATTATACGTATGTACATATGTATGTATGTCATAGTTTTTTTCTTATTTTTTGTAAAATTAATTGAATGAACTCAAACATTAAGTATATAATAATAACGAAAACGTTGTAATGCAGGCAACAATGAAACAAAACAACAAAAAGTATAAAAAATCAAAAAAAATATTACGTATTAACACCATGTATATACAACCTTAATCTACTAGACGTGTTACATTTGTGAACGTCTGATTTTTTTTTTGGCTGCGTAAATACGTCTACTAGAACAACATTACGAATGCGTTTTGTAACAAATAGCAAAACGCGTCTAGCAACTCGCACATTTTTATGTGCGACGCGACATGTCTAGTAGAATAAGATTGATAGCAAACAAAATTATAATCATAGAAATAAACTCGAAATTTTTTAATTGTAACTCTATGTTCAACAAAATTATGTATTCAAAATTTTTAAAACAATCATAATATACCTACATATAATTGAACTGGTTTTTTTGAAAGTGGTATAAGTCCAATTTTTAAAAAAACTAAGTTAATGGTGATTTTGATGAGCTATAGACACCTTATCTCCACAGTTATAATCACAATTTCAATAGAGTTATGAGAGATATGTTATTATGGCTAATATTTTTTAATTGATTTAAATGCAAAGCCTTAAATATCTCAATATATGTATGTATGAAAAAATGGACTTCTACCACTTTCAAAAAAAACAGCTCATAAGTATATATCTAATTGATATACAATGATAGGTATATACATTTTTTTTTAAATACAAATAAATTTTGTTTTTTCTATTGTAAGAAAAATATATATTTTTTCTTTCTTTATAATGTATTCTAATTTAATATACTTATGTATGTATGTATATATGTACATTTTCATTATTTTTTTGTATAATAATAATATTGCGTATTCGAATGTATATACATACATGTACGTGTAAGTATATTTAAATTCTAAACGTGAAATTTTTAAATAATATGATGAAATTGAATTTTTTTTTGAATATGTTTGTAATTTTATTTTACTTATTTTTGTTTTATTTTTTGTTTTGCTTTATTTATTATTGCCGGGCCTGGTTTTCCCTCCTTTTTTTTTCATGTAATATAAAGAAAAATTTCTTTTACCTATGTATATTACAGTAGGTTGTTTGTGTATTCTTAAATATTGCGTAAATTTTCGTATGTACAAGCATTAATTATGAAAATTATGTTTATTTTATTTATTTCATAATATTTATTGAAGATGTAATAAGAAAAATTAAATATTACAATTTAATTAGATTTTGAAATAACATAAAAGGCATCATTTGTTTAAATCCTAATAAGAATATATACATATGTACTCGTATATATGTATCTGTTTATTTGAATTTTTATGAATCTGTTTATTTTAATATAGAAATTCCAAAAGCAATTAATTTGATTTTGATTTAACATTTTCATTATACTTATGATTATTAAAATCAACGATAAGGTTATTAAAATTATAAATTTATGTAATCAACGGTGTTGCAAAATTTCTTAATATTTTGATAAGCAAATTTAATGTGTATGTACTCGTATGGATGATAATATGTGTATTTACTTATTTATGTTTTGCCAAATTCCGAAATAAGTACTATAATCTTCTATTGTCTTTTTTAAATTCATTTAATCCCTGTTTCCTATGTACATTGCAATTATTACTTAATAAGTGTAAAATGATTTATGTGTAATACTTGTTGTTTTTCCTAAATAAATAAACAAAAATAATAGAAATTAACAATTTATTTTTTTAAAGATATGTTTTTAAGTATTTAAAATTTTTGGATTGGTTTAACTTTTTTGATTCATATAAATTAAATTAACTAAATAAAAATAATAATTTGTTATCTTACTAATTAAAATTTTCTATTTTTATTTTCAGGTCTCGAACTTGAAATAAATAATCTTTTCTCTAAGTATTAATAAAATAATTTATATAAGGAAATTATACATAACATAATACAAGAATTTAAATCAACATAAATCATTTGGGTATAAATATTTTTATGTAGCTACCAATATTTATAATGATTTTACAAAAAAATATAAAATAGTTACCACAATAACCAATGATTACACAAAAACATTAAAACAAATCCTCTGTCTATTGCAAAAATATAAAAAAAAATTTAAAAGAAAAAAAATTTTCCAAAAACAAAATATATGATTTAAAAATTGTTGATATACCAATGTATCAATTCCAAATGGCACTATGGCACCAGCTCTTACTGAGCCTTTAAGTCCGAATAATACTTTAACAACTTCAACATCATCGGCATCGCCACGACCAAGTATTTCGAAAACATCGACAAATAGTCTTTTAAAAAATAACAATCACAATATTAAAAACGGAAATACTGTTAATAATAAAAATAATAAGCCAAGTTCATCACAATCTACATCTGGTTCTACAACTGATACATTATTAAACGGACACAATAACAATACTAACACATCACATAAGAACTTTGGTATTACTGAGAATAGCAACACCAGTTACAATAATATTAGTAATAATAATTTACAAAAAAATAATTTATTTCGTCGTAGTCTAACATCAACTTGTGCATTTCAATCAGCATTTGAAGAATCAATCATAAAAGCAGGTATATCGTTGCCATCAGATCAACAACAAAATAAAAAAAATAAAAAAGCGAATACAGTTGTTGTTCAATCAATTGTAATTAAAAGACCTTCATTTGAAGGTCAAAAACAAGCAAGATCGAATTCACCAAACGAGAATCTTAGAATAAGAGATAACACTTTCAAAATATATCCAACTATCGGATCAAAAGAAAATTTGTCGGACAATTTTTATAAAAAAGTAAAAACGGAACCCTTGTATAACCAACAACCTCATATTAACAACAATAAAATATCACCGAAAACGAATAACAATTTCAACAACAGTAGCAGTAACAGCAATAATAACTCGAATAATACAGGTAGATTGACGACGAATGGCCCGTCATCGCTGTTGTCGACTTCGTCAATCGTTTGTAAATCAATCGACGCGAAGACAACATCAGCGACGACATCAAAACAGAAATCAAATAGAACAGATAAATTAATGGGACCGATGAGCAACACGACAGAAAAAGATTCGCAAGACTTCGTAATTATATCAAAGGATAAAAAATCTACAGCACAACAATCACAACAACAAAAGAATAAAAATAATTTAGAAGGATTTATACCAATTGATAAAGATTTTGAAGAAGCTATTAATAATACATTTAAAATTAATTGCATAAAAAGAGACAATATTAAACAAGATCATCGACCGAAACGTGAAAAAAACGAAATAAGAACATTGCTCAGGATTGATGATCTACAGCAGATGGATTTACCTAAACATAACGATAATAATGAAAACATTGTAAATATTAGTGACAAGTCAATTGAATTAAGCAGGGATAATATTGAAAGTGAAGCTGATGGCAATTTTTTAAGTAATAAGAGAATAGTTGAACTTGATGTTGATTCTTGTGGAAACATTATAAGTGGTAGTACTCGTTTTGATAAAGATGTTGAAGATAGCGTTATTATTGAATGTGATAGTCGGAATCAGCAGTCAGATATTGAATTTTCACAACAAGAAATTCGTTCAACCGGAACAACTGACACAACAGTTTCAGCATCAGAAGGAGAAAATAATTTTTTAGACGGTATTTATCAAGCAATTATTAGATTTCACTCAATTAATTTATAATTGTTTTTTATATTTTAGAAAACTTTCAAGATTCATCTCAAACAATATGTCATAGACAAGAAAGCACCCCAAATAGATTATCAAATCTTCGTTCACCACCAAAAACACCCGCATCGTCTAGTCAACATCTATCACAAATTATTGGGACAGTAACTTCAAGTATTTTAACCCCACAAAGTATTGGTTTAAATTCATCAGCAATGGGTTTACAAAAAGATTTTAAAGATTCTGAAATTGATGATCAAGTTATTAGTGATATGGATTTGTTGCAAGTATTAAAAGGTTTAGATCCAACAACAGGTGGTGATAATCTATGCGATTTAGCTGGTAATTTAGGTCTATTTAATGATGTTGATGTTATGAATTATGAAGAAATTGTTGTACCAAATTTAAAAGAATCTGATACTACATTAGATGCTAGAAGTAGTATAGAAAAATGTCATCAACAAATGGAACGCAAATGTGAACATTTATTACGTAGATTACGCAAACTACAATCACGTTATATGGCAAAACATATTAGTCAAGAAATAAGCGGTTTGTTTGAATGGACAAATCGTTTGGTTCGTAGAAAAGATCAGCATGAACAAATACCATGTTTGACATATGAAGAAGATAAGCATCGTCCAGTGTCAGCGACAGCAATGAGAACTCTTTTACGAAGAATTGATTCAGTTGCCAAAGAACAGCATTCAAATCCATCAGATTTGTCATCGCAACCATTGAAAAAATATAAATGTAGTAGTAGATCAACATCATCATCCTTAATAAACTCAAATTTATTGGGCCGCGAACATCAAGATAAAAAGGGATCTTCTACTTCAAATATAAATACATCAAATGTATCGACAACAATTATAAAATCGTTTGATGCGAAAACAGCTGAAGAGATTGGATATGTTTCAGGTTTATTACATTCAGAGGTACATCAAACTCAATATGCTTTTGATTCAGATGCCACAGCTTCATCGTCTGGTGGAGAATCAGCTGATGAAATGGTCCCTTGTAATAATCAATCACAACAACCATTATCAATGTAAGATATCAGTATTTTTTACATGTTTTTTTTTTTTATTACAATTTTGATTTTAAACATTCTTTCCATAAAAAACATTCATTTATAGTATGATATCCAAGTATCTATACGAAAGAAATATGTTAATAGTCAACTTGTGTCAATTTCTGTTTGCAGAATATATTTATTCCAATCTTTTACTTAAAGTACTTCTTATTTATTATCAACAAGAGCTAGAATAAAATAGACTTTTGCTTATATTGAAACAAAATGGACATTTATAACTCAAAGATAAAAAAAAGTTATTATTAAATCGAATCATTCTTGACAATGGAATTTGATTTTCTTTTATACTTATTTTCCTTTTAAAATTACATTTTAGTTTTGTTATTAGAGAATTGTCAATATTGAAAATATGCTGTTCAATTTTAAATCAAAAAAATTTATTATCTAAAATATTCAAAAAAAAAATAAGAACGTATTAAATTGATTTTCTTCTAAGTGTTTGCGTGGTATTTCTATGTAGGTTCAAAGTATTTTATATAATATTTTAATTAAGCTCTTTCTACATTTACATTAGAAACATTAGAAAAATAAGCTTTCCAATTCATATTGTGTCGTTTGCAAACGTATTAGCTGTCGCTTTGGCACAATGTTTTTATATTCAAATAAAAAAGCTCACCACTTATTTCTGTTCCAAGTTTCAAATTTTTATTTCTTTTTTTTTTTTGTTATTGGTATACATATATAATATTTATTATATAAAATAAAACAATATTAATGATAGCTAATTGAATATTTCATTTTCTTTTTTTGTTTAACAAAGGTGTTTTGTGATTTTTTCTTTTTTTTTTTTTTTTGAAAATATATAAGATATTTTTTATTTTCTTGTTGTTGTAATATGAGCGTGGTTTACATAGTAAGTTTCATTAATTGCAATAAATTAAAAATGAGTACATTAATATTAAGTTCTGGAAATCAATATACAATGATGTGTTAGTAAACAAAAATAACAAAATCTTAATACATGCTTATGAGTGACGTAATATTTTACAAATTTTTCCATTTTTAAAAATTACTAGATTATTTACATTATAAATTTCAAAAAACATCTTTAAATTTAAATGTCTACAATATAAACTAAGATTGCTTTCTTCAAGCTAGTTACATGCATTTTAAATCACCAATAAGAAAAAAAATTAATTGTTTCCAACAAATTGCTATCGATATTTTATATTATAATATTTATGAAACATGCAATGAAAAGCTGTGTTTAATTTTTTTTTAGATCAAAACGAGCAGGTTGGAAATGGGCACGTGACAGAGCTGCAATAGCATCGCGTTGGACATGGTTGTGCACCCAAATATCTGATTTAGAATATAGAATACGTCAACATAATGAATTGTATCAACAAATTAGAAAAAATAAGGGGGTGGTACAGTTTGAGATTCCAAATGTGAAATATTCAAATGAAAAACAAAAAAATGATACAGTTATAGCAAAAAACATTACAGATAAAAAATTAAAAGTTGATAATTCCGAAAATGGAACTACAATAATGTTAAATAGTGATAACATAACAATTAATTCCAAGAATAATGTGAATGGTTATAGAGGCATAATAGGGAGTGTGAATAATACCAATCATCATATTGAAAATAAACGTAATAATAATAATAATAATAATAATAATAATATTAGCAGTAGTAATGATAATAACAACAACAGTAATAGTAGTAATGATAACTTCAATAATAATATAAAAAATATTAAACAAAATAATGTACATCAAATTGATGAAAGTGGAAATGCTTCTGTAATAACAGAGGATGAAGAGGATGAAATATTTGGAGCGTGTAGAACTCGACCTTTTCAAAGATCTGGTTTTAGAAAACGAAAATTGTTACAGACAGCTAATGTACATACTGTGTCCAAAAAGGCTGCTAGACCCAGGTAAATATTTGCTAGTAAATTTATTGTTGTGTTTGCTTTTTATTAACATGCTTGCTTATTTTTATAATTAAATTAGCTTTCATTGCAGTACTGTTAAATGCGGGTGTCAATGGCCATTTAATCCATGTGCTTTATGTACTGGAAGACCTGATCCAACAGCACCAAGAGACTTACCTGATACAATGATGCTAGCCGAAAGGATCGCATTGTTAGATCCCGGTTTTCATCCAGTTTTAAGTTTTGCTGAGGGTGAGCGGCGAAATTTTGATTATTTGAATTTATACATTTTATGATCTATTTTAGATGTTCCCACAAGTATTCATGTAGAGGCCATACTTCAAATGCCCGAATGGCAGAATAAGTTAATACGTAGTGTCTCCAAAAATTCAAAATCATTAAGTCGGAAAGCTGGTGATCATTCTCATGGAGGTCATAATAAAAGTAGTGGAAATATAAATTCTAAAAGATCGTATAATAAAAGTAATCAAAAATACCGAAAAGATTCTTCTACAACACCATCTACCAACAGTAATAAAATATTGTAAAAATAATATTGATATAGATCTTAGTTTTATTAAGACAAAAAAATTTTTTTTTTCTTTTTAAGAAATAAAAAAAAGTCGAAAAAATCACGATTACCCTTCCGGATTTTCACACCATTCGGGAACAGTACAATCCCAGCAAAATTCTTCAAACTCATCAATAAAAAATAAGCATCGTAAACCTTCTTCAGGCACAATGGTATCATCTTCATTGTCATTAAATTCAACTACATTTGCATCAAGCAATACTGCATTGAGTTCATCTGGAAATCGAGCTAATTCAAGTTTTTCCGCATTAAATTCTAATACAACAAGTTCTATTAATGGGTTTCAAAGTGCTTTCGCTGAATCTCTAATAAATAGTTTCCAATGCGATAATTTAGATGGTTCTACAAATGGCGTGTTACCAAGAAGCAAGAATACATCTCCAACGCCTCTTAGTGGAGTAAACCATAAACACGAAAGGTAATATTGGCAATTTTATGTTTATGTTACACGTAATATTTATTAAATTTAACTATCATTGGTAATTTTTAGGCCATTAGAAAGGAAAAATCGCAACTCTTATGATATAGATAACATTGTAATTCCTTACAGTGTGGCTGCATCGACACGAGTTGAACTTTTACCCTATAAGGAAATTCCCACACCGAAGTAAGTTACAAAAGTACATTAACTTCGATTTTTTTTATAGTTTACTACATTCATTACATCCATCAAAATATTAAAATTCAATATATTCAGGTGGCGTGTAATAGATGAAGATGCTGAAAAAACAGAAAATGACTTAGGAAATGATATTGAAAACAATTTAGATGTATCAAAAAATAAAATGATTGATTTATTAGAAAACAAATATGATTCTAATGCGGATATTGAACTTGAATCAATTACCAGAGCTGTTTTCAAAGATAATGAATTAAAAAATGCTTTAGAATCGCAAGATGATTTGGATCAAGATGATTTCTCATTTAACATCAACGAACTTGATGAAGACATTTCGATCGAGGCCATTCAAAGTCGTCATGAACGTGCCTTACTTGAAGAACGCAGAAAATTTTCAACTTACTTAAAATTTCCATGGAGTACGAGATCTAGAGCTAATAGAAGAATTGACAGCAGAGCAGAATCAAGTGGAGCAAACACACCAGATCCGACTTCGCCAGCGCCTCATACACCAAGTGTAGGAGGCGATCAGGAGGTTTGATATTTTATAAATTTTAACAATGGAATATTGTGTTAAATTTTTATTCTTTAGTCAATACCCTCGCCAGCTGCACCTTCAACTCCAATGGCTGTTCAAGGAGAATCGGGTGATGGAGATTTATTAAATAATACTTTTGGTAGGTATTCAAGTAACCCAAAATCAAATGATTTTCAAAAGCGAAAGCCGAAAAAATATATTGCATAAACCAATTATATATGAGTATAAAGTTGGAGGTCTTTAATATTCAAAATAGGACCTACAATTTTCGTTTAATTGTAGGTAACAAAAGCATTCAATTTTGAATATTTTTTACTTCAATTTTTAGCATTGCATCATCTAGTTTAGTCATCTATCTAAATAGAATTTATAATGCAGGTCATCGGCGGGAACGTAAACGAACAGTATCATCAAAAAAGGATAAAGATGTTTGTAGTACTACTTTTTCGCATGATCGAAGAAGTCAAAGCCCTGACTTGAAAGAAGTAAGATAATAGTTTTAATTTTAATTTATTCTTTTTTATTAATACCAAATGTGATTAGAATGAAACTTAGTTCATAAGATTATTTCGACTAGTAAACAAATTGGGAAATATTAAAGTAAAGTTGATGAATTAAAAATGAAAATTTATTTCTCATATAAATTTGCAAGAAAACAATTTTTATTAAAATAATATTAAAATCATATTCACGGTATTTTTATATAACATGGTAACTGGATGTTTTTCATTTTAAGTAAAATTTAAGGCTAGTTTTGAATTACTTTTGAGTTTGCAATACAATTTCTTTATGTTAATTTACCTAATATTAGCAATTCCAACCGTTTTTTTTTTATTAATAAGTATGTATTAACCCTTTAATTTTCATTTTTTTCATTTCGCCGGGTCGGACATTTAAGTTAATTTAAGTTAATCGATAAGTTATCCATTAACTGAAATTAATTTAACAATACGGATTAAAAAATTTTATGCTAAAAAAAACTTAATTTATAACTAAAAAGGTTGTTTGTGTTACAAGAAGTTTATTATATAATCATCTGGATAAATGTAATAGTTTCTCAGTGTGACAAAAAATATATTTGCTGAGAATATTGTGAAATCATAAAAGTAAATCCACATTTGCATACATCAATTAGATGCTTTGTGCCTTCCTGTTGGAATGTTTTTGTAAAATCTGTTATTCATTTAATTTTAAATGCTTAATATTTTTCCTTTTTTCGAGGAAAAAATTTGACAAAGTTTAGAAAAGAAAATATTGAATATTGTGTTATAATGTTATGTAAAAATACCACTGACAATATTATATATTTCAAAACTCGTACTATACACCATGTATCAGTATCAGTTCACTTTTTATTTTAATTTTGTTGATTATAATCTTTTGTTTTTGTTTTTAATTTTTTAAATATAAAAATAAAGTATGTTTACACATAAGCATATATATATATATATATTATATATATATTATATAAAGGACATTATTCTCTAGAACCCATGAAAGATCTAGCGCTTATTTAAAAATACTGTTCATAAAAATAGCAATTTTAAAATGAACTAATATAAATGTTTTATTTATATTTAAGATGATACCACCATATGAGCCATTACGCTTTCCAATTTCTGATGATTTGTTTGAAAAAATGTTACAATTAATGCCAAATCAAAATGATATGGAGGAAAATAGTAATTTGGTTAGCGATATTTGCGAAACTAACATCAATAATGTTACAAATATTTTAGGTAGTTCCAATACCGAAAACATTAACAGGAAGATAAGTGGTAGTAACAATAGCAGCCGAAAAAATTCAATTTCATTAAATTTATCTGATACATTTAGTTGTGTTTATGAATCCGGTACTTCAACAGATGTTAATGATATCTATAGAAATAATAATAATAATAGAAATAGTATAAATGAGAATAGTATAAACAACAATAATAGTAACAAAAATATCAGTAAGAAAAAATCTATACAAAAAATGGAAAGTAGTTTTCATGAATATTTTGATTCAAATGATAAAATTTTTTTATTACCTGATGATAGTGATACAGATTCAATAGAATCTGGTTTGGATGATCCCAATGATCCCGAATGGAAAGAACCAGAGTGAAACTATCGAATGATCTTTATTGATTTTTGTTTTTTTTTAGTTCTATATTTAAGTTCGAATTCTATTCATTTTTGAAATATGAATATTATTCAATAGACTTACTTTTAATATTAAATATTTTTGTATTTATTATTAAGAAGCTTTCTTATAAAATATGTTGCTATCAGATAAAATTTAATACAGTAAATATTTTTTATAATATTTAACTAGTTAACAGTCTCTATTATTTAAGTTTTTTTTTTTTTTTTGATTTAAAAACTCATTTGATAACTTACATAAAATTTGTGAGACAGAAAAATATGAAAATAAAAACGTGTACGTATGAAAATTTAACGTTTACTGTATATTTTATTCATTTCGAGTAAATTTTTATTGGATATCATTTTATGCCGCTTTAGTAATGTTAATTTAATTTTGCGCTCAGCTTTCCATTCTATTTTATTCCAAATTGAATAACGTTTTTCGATTATTTGAATTTAAATATTAGATTGCAGATTTAATATAAAAATAAAGCAATTACACAGTATTTGGAGAATTGGTTTATGTTCAGAAATATTTACGGTTAATTTTTTAATTTAACAAGCTCAATTACTGTGTGTTATTTTTATGATTTTTTGCAAAGTCTCAGAGTTTGGGAAAAAAGCGTCGAGCTAAATTTGGAATTATATTCAAATAATATTTTTATAAACCAGGTTAAAAAATTAAAAATAACAAAAAAAATTTATAAATACATATATAGTTCGAAAACTATGTTTATATTCTCAGTTAATCGACAATTTAAACTCAAAAAATTCAATATAATTCGTGTATGAGAAATATATTAAGTATGAGAAAATGTAAGAAAGTAATTTAAAAATTTAAAATTCCATTAATGGAGTCTAACATCTTCATTTGAATGCTTGGAAAATCAAGCAAATTTTTTAATTGATGATGTTTTGCATTTGTAATTTATTGAATTAATATGTACTTCAAAATTACAAGAATAAAATAAAGGTTTACTATCAAAAATTTAAATAAAATAGGTATCCAAAAAAAAAGGGTTATTTTTAAAAGCGCAGTCTGTTAAAGGAAATTATAGCTGAAATTAAAAGTTAAGATAAAAATATGAATCTAATTTTAAAAATACTATGTAAATATGTAAGAAATGATTTGTAAAAAAAAGGAAGACATAACTTTGAAATAATATGTTCGATAAATAAGTTTTTAAATTGAATATTAATTACATTCAATATCGTTAGAAGTATTTTGTATTTATATTGTTAATAAAATCTACAATTAAAGATTTAGTTTTTTTTTTAAATAAAATTTGATTTCGCATAAATGATTAACGAAAATGAATATTTTTCGACAAACGTACAAAACTAATAGTATGCAATTTTTAGATTTTTGGTTTTTTCATTTTAATATATAAATTTCCTGAAAGAATATTGTATTATTCTTAATTAAATGTCCTATAATATTCTCAATTAACATAAATTTTTTTAAATGGAATAAAAACAATTTAAAATTTAAATTCTTAAATATATAAAATATTTCTTAGCATTTTATTATGATATATGAAATATAATATTTCGTATTTTTTATAATCTCAAGCTGCGTAAGTACCATATTTGTGTCCAAATTTAAAGTTATTTTATGTTCATTTTGAATTAACTTAAAGAAATTTATGCCTACAGAAATAATTTTTTCGTTAATGGTATATATCGTTACATAAAAATTAATAGGTAGTAAAATATAATAAAAGGAAAAAATTAGGACAGGTTTTGATTTTTAATAAACTACGTGTTCGCATTTTTAAATTAAAAGTTAAATAACTTTAAAATCAAAAATGTGAGTCTACAAAAACAGTAAATTTTATATTTGTAGAAAAAAGTTAATGTAGTAATAAAACTAAAAATGACAAATTTGTTACTAAGCAATTTGCAAATTAATTATTAAGTTGGAACCAAATTATTTGAAATTTTTCTATTTAAATTTAATATTTAAATTCTTCCAAATCAACTTAAATAACACGGTGGTATAAACGTAGCGACTTTAAAGTTATTAGTGTATTTATTTCAAATGTTATAATACGAAATTTTAAAAATTTTTATTTAAAAATTCTTAATTCTAACGATTTATTTGAATAATGAAATACCATAAGTAATTATAAAAACTATGTCACAATATCTATTTGTTTTTGTTTTTATATATTTATATATAAGTGGTTTATACTTACAAAAATTATTATAATATCTTGATTTAAAAAAATATCTTAAACCATTTTGTAAATAATTAATTTTAACTTAAATATTCGATTAAAATATAATATTTTAAACATTAAAGTACCAGTTATGAATTTCAAAAAAAAAAAAAAACAAAGAGAATATGTAAAATAAAAATTTAGTATATACATATACGTTATAATAAATAATACAAATGGTAAAAAATGTAAAAAATAAAAAAAATTTGAATAAAATACAAAATTCCTTTTATACGAAAAGGAAAAAGCGTATTATTACATAATTTTCACGATATATATATATAGACCTATAGAAATATTATATGATATATATAATTAATTTTTAATTTCACAATAAAAGTTACTAATTTTAAGAGTTTATACATTAAAAATTTTAGTTTTATTAAAATTGTCATGTGTATATATATATATATAAAACGAAAAAAAAGAAAAACAAAAATTTTGTTTATTAATTACTTATAGTTTAAAACTTAAAAAAAAATTAATGAAATAAAAAATAATATAAAATTAAATATAAAATTAATTTTGTTTTTGAGTTTCTCTAACGTTACAGGTGCTTTGAGTTTATCATTGTTTTTTTTTTTACAAAATTCGTTTCACATGTAATATTTTTTGTAATGTAATAATCGAATTTTAGTAAATCACATTACAAAAGCACTCTAATACATAAAATGTATACATAAAGTCTGATATTTAAACATGAAATTTCACATTATGAAATGTACAAAAATAAAAAAAATTAATATTTTGAAACATATAATCATATATTTAACAACAAAATTTTAACTTTATTTGAATTAACTAGAGCAAAATATGTTTAAATAACTTTTCATACTTAAAATTAAGAAATTTCTAAAAAAATTTCAATGTAGATTTTCTACAACAGCAAAAAATTTTTTCAAGAAATTTAAGTTGAAAGATTTAATAGTTGTAAATGTAGTATATCTTAACTATAAATTTTATAATGTTTTAATATGACATCATTTCTGTTCGTTTTTTTAAACTTAAAAAAACACTTAATGTGAATCATTTACGTAATTGTATTAACTTTTAAGTCTAATAAACCTTTCCTATCGAAAATTGGTAACCAATACCTTAAATTATCTTGAATTCTTTTATTTTTGAACATCAACTTTTTACATTGTATGGCATGCTCGTTTGTGCCATGAACGGCATGAAAATCGACTTCCGGACTTTCATTTAGTGCAATTGGTTGATTGATGCATGTTACAATAAACCCTAAGAATAATACAACTAATAAATATATTGTAAATAGTTTTATACATATTTTTTCTTACCATAAAAGTCTCTTTTAAGAAAATTAATGTAGAATTCATTTAATGCTGGAATTTTGCCCCTGAATTTAAGCTTTTTTAAACTTTCTGAAAATATCTCATAATAATATTTTAATAAATCTTCTTGATTGGCACGTTTTACATCTTCTGTAAGTGCTATATTAAAAAAATATTGTAAATCAATTACATTTGGTGAAAAACAAGAAAATTGAAAATCAATTAATACTGCGTCAGTAACATTCTGTTTATTTGCAGAACTTGAATACTGGAACATTAAATTTGATTGCCAAATATCACCATGTATAAATGTATTGAATTGAGCTGGACTAGGATCAAAACATTTACGCCCCAGTTCCATTAAATTTGGAAAAAGTAATTCCATTTTCTTTGCATATATGTGATACATTTGACCTAAATCTTCATAAATCGTATCTATACATGACTTAAATATTGTGTTAAAAAAATCATTGTAAGAATTAGTTTCGCGTGTGAAAAAACCAACGTTATAGCCCTTATTAAATATAGTTGGATTTTGTTCATTTAGAACAGCAGCTGCTGCATGTACTTTTGCTAGTTTTCGTATTGAAATTTTTGCATGTTGAAAATCTAGACCATTTAGTCGATTAGCAGTTTTAAAATTTTTTGAGCATAAGTCTTCAAATATCATAGTGAAATTTTCAAAATCTATATGTAAAGCCTCGCCAAATAAAAATTCATCAATTTTTGCATCTTTTAATAAATTATTTAGTTTAGGTAGAATATCGTTATAAATTTTCATTTCTCTATTAAAAACATCAAAGTCTTGAAGAATATTCATTGCAAATTTATTGTCTTCAAATGCAGTTTTAATCACAACATTAATAATTGATCTTAAATTTTTTTCACTCGCGAATTCTATTTCAGCTCTAGTAATAACACCACCATAACTTTCTCCCTTTTCTGTAACAGGTGAAAATTTTAATTTTTCGATTGTAAGTGTACAATCTTGTTTATATGATCGTAATATATCTTGCAAATATTCTTTTGTCACCCAGCTTCCTGGTTGATTCACATAAGATATGTGTTTTTCTGAGGTGTTGATATGTAATACCATGTTTTAAGTGATGTGTCGAAAATTGTTTAACAAGTAGGAAAACTCAAATTACTAATATAATATAAAAACTTTTTTTTTCGTTTATATATGAAGATTTAGCTTACAGTAGAGGAAATCTTAAATTTAACTTAAATAAATGTATACAAATTATTTGTCTTTTGTCTCGTTTAGTGATTTATGACAAGAAAACACCGTAATTAATCTAAACATTTAAATATTTCTTGTTATAATATTTGTAGTTTTTATAATATTTGTACCATGTTTATTGCATTTAATTAGTACAAAGAAAGTTAAAATATACCGAGTATACCCTATATTATATATTTTTGTGTATTTTACTCTGTACTTATAGATGAACGATTATATTAAACAAGCGCATTTGAAGAATATTCAAACGTATCTTATTACACAGGGTCTATTCCCCTGCATTTTATGTTATTGCATTTAAAGAAAAATGTAAAATATATTAATTTTGTGTTTTAATAATGAGGATGCCTATTAGATACATATTTTAATGTATTTGGAGTAATAACTTTAAAAAATAAATTAAAAACCTTAAAAACAAATCATCAGTTATGTCGTTTTAGATGCCCTTAAATATTCTTAGTGAGCTAATTCGTTTTTATAATGCATTATTCATATAAACATTAAACAAAGAATGTACTGCAATATGCAAAAGTTGATACAGTAGATGTATGCATATAAATTAAAGAGGCCATTTAGAAATCCCATACAAATAATTTCGAACACTTTCAATTGAAAATATCCAATTTTGATAGATCATTATAAACAATCAAAATCAAGTCAAAATAAAATCAAATTAACAGATAGGTTTGTTCACACATATCCACACAATCACAGGGTTTGTATTTTAAAAGTATTGCAATACCTCAATATTTTCAAAAGTAAGATCTTAGTATCCATATCTAAAATTTTTATTAGTGATATCAAATTGAATAGTTTTTACTACATACACATATGTATATATGCATACTATTATCTCCTATTGCCGCCCTCACTTTCAATCAAATAATCAAAAACAGAAAAAGTAGAATTATTTTTTTTTTTCTGTAAAGAATTTTACCTTTCATAAATATTCTGTGTCTTAAAATAAATGTGTATCCATATTAGCACAGCTTTGTTATCATAATTGTTACGTATATAATGTAGTTATCAATGTGTGTATATTTACGTTTGTATAAGGTTATATAATATGTATGAAAGATTATACTTCTTTTGTAAACAAACTACAAGTATAAAAGCTTAAAATTTTGGATTCACTTGAGCTTATTAAGAATGTTTTATATCAGGTATGCACAACATGCAATCGGCGGGCGAAATCGCTTCAGTTATTTCATTTCATTCGAAACGAAGACTTTTTGAAACGTCATTGAACGGCTCATTAGTAGTCGTTAGCGATAATTTTCAATAAAGGTGAGTAGTGTTTCAAATCCATAAAAATTGACAATTTTCACTTGCTTTAAATTTTTTTTTTCTAAAAAGGTAAGAAATGTTATTAATTTTAAAAGACACGAAATAGCACGTTTGAAATTTTAAATTACCCTATATCAATATTTCTAAGACATTTTTAATAGTTTTTAGAATTCTCGTTATAAGTTTTCTATTTTTTAATTTGACACACAGAAATGTAATGGTTGGACATACCTGTTTTTTATACAGTATGGCAAGATATACGTTAATATTTTATACTTTTATGTCTCATCACCTAAGAAACTATCTATGTATTGTATGTATATGGTTTTCTAATTTAATTATTATAAAAATGTGATATTAAAATATGTAGTTATAGAATCGAAAGCTAATGCTTGTTTTGTATTAAAGAAATAAAATTTGTAACCTCTTAGCATTGATTGAGTTTTTAAGCAATATATTTAAATCCAATTCAAAAAAATTATGTTGAAGGTGAATATATGTAGTTATGAAGCTCTTTAACTCAAGGATTCCTTATACAAAAATGAATTCTATTATGTCATATCAAAGAGATTAGAAGTGTACATGTAAGATTTTTTTAAATAAACATGTTTAAAGTTTTCATTTTCCTGAATACAAACAACAATTCAAGAAAATTTTCATTATTTTTGGTATTTAAATTACATCCATACTTTAAATTTTTTATTATATTCAAAAATTTTTCTGAATACATTTCCAAATTTTGCATGACTTTTTACAAATATATTCTTCATAATTCATGTTAATTTAATTCCATGTTTAAAATACTCGATTTTAGTTCAAGACTAAATTTAAATTAAATTATTGGAAATTTTAATCCTCTAAAAATTTATTCGGTCGCATTTTTGTTAATGATTGAAAACTGAATGTTTTAACAAAAATTGTTATGATAAAAAATATTGCTGAATGATTAAGTGAATTAAACTCTTGGACTATTACTGTGTCTATATAAAAGAAAAAAATTAAAAGTCAATGATTTGTGTTAGATAATTTTTATTACTTTTTTTTGTTGAATATAGTGATACTTAAAAACTCAAAGCAGTTGGTTTCGTGATTTAAAAATCCTATCAACTAAATTACTTAGGTATATATGTACATTAAAATATAATATTTATATGTAAATATAAATTATATATTGCATTTAATAAACGTGCTCTTTATGTTTTTTTTTTTTGGAAGAAAAATAAATTATTTTTGTCGGAGTCAGCTGACTTTGGCAATAAAATTATAAAAATGATAAAAAGTGTATTTTTTTTTTTTTTGCAATTTTTAAACAAAAATTTACAATATAAATCTTTAAGATAAATAATTGTTAGTTTAAAAATTGTAATTTTGCATATTATTGTTGTTTTGGAAAAAAAAAATTAATTTGCTTAAACCTGCAGTTTTGAAACATACTGATTTACATCTACATATATGTTCATATGATTTGTAAAAATTAGGTTTGTAAATATGCCAATATGAAAACATTATGTTTATTGATTAGTTACGTTGCACATGTACGACTACTTAATAATATATACAAAAGTATTAAAAAGGACAAAAAAAAATAAGGATGCAGATTTATGCAACGGGAGAAATATGAAAATAATTTTTTGTGTGTTTTGTGATAATCAATAAAATATGAAATTAATTTTTTTTTAGAATTTTGAAGAAATATCCAAGTAGGACATACATATGTATGTACATATACGTATATATATAAAATATCTTTGTTTAAATATTCTTACGCCTATATATTTTTTGTGATAGGAAAGGACATTATGACGTAATCATTTCAGTAAAAATTAATATTAAATTTAATTTAAAATTTAAAATAAAAATATTTTAAATTTTTAAAAATTTTAAATTTCTTATTACAATATAGGTAAGTAATTGGTAGTTCTTCTTTACCAACAAAGCACCGAAAATGATGAATTAAAAATGGTTTATTCGATTAGTTGATTAATAATTCTACAAAAAAAATGAAAAAAAAAAACTGAATGTTTTATAGTTTTTAAATATTTATTTATTTCTATAAGTATTTAAAATATAGAAGAAAATACCTAATTACATACCTATGTACAAGTTATTATACATATATTACTTTATAGCAACAGTTTTGCATTAAAATTAAAATTTTATTAGTTTTTTGAAATTGTAACAAAAATAAAAATTACGAAAACAACTGTTGAGTACAAAAAATTATACTCAATAATAAATAAAATGTATAAATCATAGCTAAAGTAAAATTTAGGCTAAAAAATTTAAAAAATTTTAAAAAATTAAATTTTTTATATTATAAGAGTTTTTTTGTTATTAAAATTTCTTAAGAGGGAACGACTAAATATGGAATAGCTAGCTGCTTAAATTAAAATTCTCAAGAGATCTAAGAGCCACAACAATTTATCAGGTTCCTCTGGGACTTAAGTAATAATTATTACTTAAAAATTATGTACTTATTCTATGGAGTTTTAAAATGTCTATTTTTTAATAATAATGTTGAAATATTATTGGATATGGAACTATTTATTATAAGTGTACAAGTTATTTTTGATTTGATAACGATATAGGGGACTTTCCAAATTGTGATTAATAATAATTAAAATTTTTAATTCAAACTTTTACATGTAACATAATTCAAAAATACTTAAACTTTAAATTTTTAAGAAAAAAAAATTTATTGTGTCAGCTTTTTTTTTTTTTTTGAGAATCACATGATCATAAAAAAAGCGCATGATAAAAAATTTAAGAAGAATAAACAATTTTTTTTTATATATGATTATGTACATATATATATAATATAAAATACAAACAGTTTTATAAATGATTTTCGCAGGTTTTATAAAAATGAATTTCTGTTTTAAGTAATTTAGTTTAATATTGGGTATGTACATAGATAAAATATTGGGTAAAAGGAATAAAAAGCAAGAAAATATTGAAATTTTGAAATAAGCACATACTTAATTATATTGTGCTTTACTTGATAACAATTAAGTTAAGGTATAAAAAATTTTAAATTCAGTTAAAAAATTAATTTTCTGTTAAGTGTTAAGATTTAATAATATTATTGTAGAAAAATTTAAAAATATTACTTCATGTATTTTCTATCAAGTTCTTGCAAAAAACATTGAGTTAGCCATAATTTTTAGAAAATATGAAATTGAAATTTAAATAATAAAATATTAAAGATTCAAGAGTTCAATAAATTAATTTAAAAATAACTCAATTTGTACAGTGATAATTAATTATAAAAAAAACTGCTTTGAGTGCCTCAGTTTATATAACACGATAAGAAGAAATTTACTTATTTAAACTTTATTTAATTTACATATTTAATACTTGATAGATAGATTAAGATGAGTCGGAATACAAGTTAAATTAAAATGGATGTTTCACTGCATAATTGTTAAACTTTTTTTTTCTATTATCAGAAATTCACGCATTCTTGGAAATTTCATTCAATGTTTACATAGTTATAAATTCGGCTTTATTTGTTTTGAAATTTTTCAATTATGAACAGAACTCTGTCATTTTAAGAATTCTAGCATACGTACATTTGCATAAGATCACCTATACTTATGTCTTTTTTCGTATAAGTATAGTTTTTATTTAAAACACAGATAATAAAAATAGTTACTATAATAAGAATATAAAGAAAAGCTTCTCATTATTATTTTGATTCCCGAGCATTATTTCAAAATTAATTCAAAATTAAAAGAAAATTAATTTAAATATTTCACTACTAGATATAAAAGTTAACAACTCTGTACATACTTAAATGAATGTTTTGTGTTTCGTTTTTTTCACCACACTAAATGATAGTTGAACAGATTTGAGTAGTACATTGTTGTGTTTATTAAATATGAACCAATTAAACTATTTGAGTGCAAATAAAATGTTTTGAATTCTGCTTATTTTAAGAAATTTTTGGTGGGTGTTTCAGTTTTGGTAAAGACTAAAATGTGTATTAATTTTTTGCAGATTAAACTTTTTATATAAGTATATTAATTGTGTTTATATTAAACTTTTCTTAATTTTTAAATACTGTAAAATAAATGGAGTTTTTTAAACATTTACGTGTATAACTATAAAAACGTGTATTCTTAAAAATGTGCTTAAATTAAATGATTATAGTGTAAAATTTATTACCACGTTATAGATTAAAATTTGATAGTTGTAACATATAAATTTCAATTTTCAATTCAAATTTGCTTCAAATATATTTAATAATTCAAATTTGCTTCATATAAATTTAATAATATTCGAATATTTTTTTACCAAATTTAAATTTATTTTAAGCATGACAATAATTTTGCTATATTATTCAATTATTGTTATCAAAATTTGAAAAATTGAAATGTTCGAATGCATATAATTTATACAGTACCTCTGCCTTTTTTCGACGATAAATATATTGTCTTGTGCCTTGTACCTAAAAAACTGTATAACATATTAATAATTGTTAATTAATATAGAACATTGCTTGATTTTAATGAAGACAAAATGAAATTTATATTTTAACGAATATTTGTAATTTTAACTCCACAATAGTAATTATTTCCGTACCGAGAAAATTAAATATTTGTAATGATTAAATTTTAAAAAGTGCAAAGAGAAAAGAAAATGAAAATAAAGAGAGTGAAATATAGTTATTTTCTATTATAACTACATGTGTTTGAATGTATATTATGTATATAAATATATGTTTATAAAAAGTGATCAAAAAGCACGTGATATTTTCGAAAAGAAAATTCAATTTAATTCATTCAAAATTTTAAAATTAGTACTATTGTTTAAATACAAGTACCTACCTACTTACTGTTCATTTATTTTAGCTTTTTTTCTCTTCTTCTCTTAATTATATGTACGTATAATGAAAACGTATGACTTTTTAATTAATTCTTACATTATAATATACATAGTAATTTAAAAAAACAAATGGTATATACTTAAATAATTAAAGTAAATTTAAACAAGAAAATATTATATTTTTTATACACATAATAATATATAATATACATATATAATATAAATATATATAGTGTGCATACATACATATGCTTGAATACTAATTATTTTCCTTTGTAATTTTCTGCATTAGTATATAGTCTTATATATACTTACATATACATATGTATGTATATATATACAAATTTATTATATTATTCTATTATAAGTTTTTCAAAAATATTTTTTTTTCCATTCTATTTTGTACAGCAATTACAAAAAAAAAATAACAAAGTCATAATTAAATGGGTACTGGCGCTATTGAATACAATCCACCAGAATGGTTGACACAATCATTTCTAGAAGAAATCTTAAGAGATCATTTTAATGATGTGAATATTAATGTTAGTAATTTACGTACAATTAGTCTAGTAAAAACTAACGGTTATGCGAGTATTTTACATAAATGTCAATTTAAATATACAAAAGATAATGAAAATTTTGATAAATTTTCTTTAATAATAAAGGTAAGTCAAGTGTATTTTTTTGATTTTATAATATTTTAAGTATAATTTATTTTTATGTGCATAGACATGTGTATGAATTAGATTTATGTATATATATATATATATTTGTATGTAAGTACGTTAATTTATATTGATATGAAAATTAGGTTTCACACACAAAAAAGAAATTTATTTCTTTGTTTTTTTTTTATATTCTTATCTTTTATTTTAAAAATAAAAATTTATTTACGAAAAAAATTAAATATATTATATAAAATACTTTAAAACATTTTATATTCATTTAATTTTAATTATATTTTATTCATAGGTGAGAGTACCTACAATATTTTAAAATTTTACATACCCGCTTTCATACAATTAAGGCAAAAATAAAATTAAATATGTTATACAATCATATTTTATTTTATTTTATATAGCTAATATCAATATTATAAATGTGATTGTCGAATAAAATAAATTTCAATTTTCATTTAAATTAATAAATATTTTATGTTTACAATGATGATTATTGTAAAATTTCAATTACAATATAGGTAATTGGTAGCTCTTCTTTACAAACAAAGCACCGAAAATGATGAATTAAAAATGGTTTATTCGATCAGTTGATTAATAATTTTACAAAAAAACTGAAAAAAAAACTGAATGTCTTATAGTTTTTAAATATTTATTTATTTCTATAAGTATTCAAAATATAGAAGAAGATACCTAATTACATACCTATGTACAAGTTATTATACATATGTATATTACTTTATAGCAACAGTTTTGCATTAAAATTAAAATTTTATTATTAATATCATACAATTAAGGCAAAAATAAAATTAAATATGTTATACAATCATATTTTATTTTATTTTATATAGCTAATATCAATATTATAAATGTGATTGTCGAATAAAATAAATTTCAATTTTCATTTAAATTAATAAATATTTTATGTTTACAATGATGATTATTGTAAAATTTCAAATAAAAAATAAATATTTATTATTTTTTAAATAGAGAGATAAAACAATAATATTGTAACAATTTACTCATCAACAAAACACTATAACATTTTACTTTTGTTTATTTTAATAATTACTACTATAAAAATTACTGTAATATAAAATGCAACTACATAGATAATGTAAAATCTGCATGATAGTAATTTTTGTAAAAGATTATGTAAGAGATTTTTTTAGAGAGACAATTTAAAGTTATTTTGCAAAAATTCAGTTTAAAAAATCGATTAATCAATTTAATCGATATTTTGAAAATATTTATAATGTATCTAAAAATTTAAATGTTATTAATCAAGACAATATTATAAAAAATTAATGACGACACTATATATATTTGTATGTACGAGTATATACTACACAGAAATAAAAATATTTTAAAGTTTTTTGTTTAATTTAATTTATATGCAAAAAAAAGTGATTAATGTGTATTTTGTTCCGATGTTACTTGATTTTGAGTGCAAGTTCAAATTAAAAAAAAAATAAATTAGTTGATTGTTATATGATCATAATGTAAATGTCATTCTCTTAAATATTTCAGTGCATGAGAAAATAGAGTTTTACTTAAGCTTTGTTTTCTATATTTATGAGGCACTATATAAAAGTTATATATTATAATATATATGATTTTTAAGGTACTGTTTACTTATATGACAAAATCTAAAAATGACATTCATTAGATCTTTACATATCAGAATGAAATTTATGGCCGCCAGACCTAACGTCAAAATTTAATAATTTTATTACGAAAATTATAATCAAAATAAAATCAGTTGATCATTGTTTAAAACTCCACCAAAAAATATTAATTGTTTTCATTTTACTTTTGAAATCTAACAGTAAGTGTTTGATAAGAATAGAGTAATTTCTATTAAATATGCTGTCAGACGAAGTTTGATGTCAAACTGTGTTGCATACGACTTTAATAAGGCTCAGATTAAATCGTAAATTTTGTTAACGCATATGTAAACAACAATTCAGAAATTGTAAAAATTTATTTTGTCAAATATGTCACGATTCTCAATGACATTTGTTACATTAAATAATCTTTTGATATTTTTTGCATACATATGTATCTATACATGTTATTCTTTTATTTTATCGATTCATTTCTGTATATATATTTATTAATTAATTAAATTTGCCTTTTATTTGCCTTAAAGTTGTACATGTATATATATGTTTTATGCATGAATTTTAAGTGATTGGAGTTTTAAATTTTCGGATAATCATGGTATTACTGTATTCTTTATATGTATTATTTTTTTCCTTTATCTATATAATTTATATGATAAAAAAAAAATAAATTGTTCTTTATTTTTTTATAATTAATTAATACAATTCTTATCAGAATAATCAGTTTCAATGAGTTTATTTTTAATTTTAAATTATTTAATGAAAATTTTTTAAGTAAATTTATATTTTTTTGCAAGAATATACGTTACTTATTTATGTAGTTGTCTTACGCGTTTCCATTTATTTATTTATTATAAAATAATTGTATATAATATTGGAAAAAGGCAAATGCAATATTGTTAAAGCAAAGTTACAATACTATCGGTTGAAATATTCAATTATAATAGAAATATTAACTAAATTTTTAATTATTATATTGTTATTTAGAATTCGATATATTGTTGTGTAAGTCAAATACTATTAAAATATTTTATTTGCTCAAAATTATAAAATATAACTTTAATTATATAATATAAATCTTTTTCCATGTTATAATTATAAAATATTAAAATTAGATTTTAATTAACAAAGTTTTTTTTTTTATTTTTTACCTATATAGGAACACCCAAAAGGATTATCAGGAATCTTAGCATTTAAACATAAACTTTTTAAACGTGAAATTTTAATATATAAAGATATATTGCCTCGAATACAAGATTTATTACGTACAATTAATGAAACAACAAAAATTGCACCAATTTGTTATTATACAACTGAAACACCAGAACCATTTTTAATTTTAGAAGATATGACATATAATCAATATGAAATGTTTGAACGTAATCGATTATTTAATTTACAACAAGTAATACCGGTTATTGAAAAAATTGCCAAATTTCATGCTTGCTCTGTTATTATTGCTGAACAAAATCCCGGTATTATGGATTTTTTTGAAGAAGGACCAATTTCTGATAATCCAGATAGACAAAATTTTTTAGGATTTTTTCCGGCTAGTATAAAAGAATTAGCAGAAGAGGTTGCTAAATGGCAAGGATTCGAAGAAATTTGTGAAAAATTATATCGTCTTGAGAAAACAATTATTTCAAAAGGAAAAGATTTATTTAAATCAAATAAAGATGAGTTTCGTGTCTTAAATTTAGGAGATTTATGGATTAGTAATGTAATGATAAAAGTTGATGAACAATTGCTACCGGAAGATGTTGTATTGGTATGATTATTTTTACTATTTCTTTTGTATTTAAAATTTTATGTATTATTCAATATCTCTAAATTTTCATAAAAATAATTTTATTATTTTATTGCTTGTTTTTAGCTTGATTATCAATTAGCATATTATGGATCGCCGGCTATCGATCTAAATTATTTTCTATATGGTTCACTTAATGAAAATGTCCGTAAAGTTCATTACAAGTATATTATAAAAGAATATCATCAAATTCTTAATAAAACTTTATCTGAATTAAATTATACTGGTTATATTCCAACATTAAAAGATCTACATATAAAAATTATAAAGAAAAGTTTAATGGGTAAAAAAAAATTATACATAAATTTAATTGTGATTAGCATAATTTAAAAAAAATGTTTTTTATTTTTAGCTGTTATAGCTGCTTCATGTTTAACACCATTAATTTTTAATGGATCTGATGAAAATCCAGATGAAAATGATAATCGAGGAACTGGAATGTTAGATACAGATAGTATACCGAAAAAATTAAATTTAGATGAAAATCCAAAATATAAAGCGTTTATACAAAGAACATTAAAAGAATTTGATTTATCTGGATTTTTGGATTGATATGCTAAAATTTTTAATTATATTAATTTAATATTCTGTTTATCTTTTAAATGTATATGTTTTGAATTAATTTTTTTTTGTTTGTGAAAATAGAAAATATAAATAATTCCAGAATTTTGTGATATTTATTCAATTTACTAGTGATTAATTTATTTTAATTGTCGATTAATATTTTAAGATTATAAAAAAACAAGTATTTTTAGTCTGATATCAAAAGCAGGACTTGGGAGTCGATTCAAAAATATTATGATGTCTATGGAATTTTATATAAAAAAATTTTAAAATCAAAAAAACTTGAAATTCCAAATTCCCAATCTTGAGCAAAAGAGTTCAAAAATCATTCGAGATCTTTTTCGTTTTCAAATTTAAAAATTAATTCCTTAATTTATAATAGATGTTTAGTTAAAGAAATGTATTAGTTTAATGGTCATTAATTTTTCTTGAAACATAATTAATTTCGATTTAAGGAGTTTTAATAAAATTTCTTTCATTCTAAGTATTTAAGTTTTATTATCTTTATATATATATATATATATATATATATATATATATATAAATATTTATGATACAACTAACATAAAATACTCAAAATTTACAATTTTTTAAAATAAATTAAATATTAAATTCCTTAGTATGTAAAATTCATGCTTAAACATCTAGTAGACCCCGACGATCATAAATTGGTAACATATTTTTAACACCTTCTAAAACTCTCGGATTACTATATGCAACTTTACGAAAATTCATTGATCTTTCATCAGTTCTCATTAGTACATCGAATTCAGCATCGTCGGTTTTGTCATTTATGAGAATAACTTGTGAAGTTGCTGTAATGGCAAAAGCTGTAAAGAAATTTAAAATTTAAATATAATAAAATAAATTATCGATAGAAAAGTGTAGTATGTACGTAGATATTTTGTTTTTTACCTAAAAACTCTTTTTCAGCCACTTGTAAACGAAATTGATATAAATCTGCAATTTTTCCATCATAATTTAATTGTTTCAAGGTATTCACAAGAATTTTATGGTAGTATTGAAAAAGTTCATCTTGTCCTTTATGTCGTATTTCTTCTTGAACTGAAGTATTAATAAAATAATGTAAATCCCATGCAGGGGACGTCCATTTGCTAAATTGAAAATCAATTAAAAGAGCATTTTCAATTTCACCATTTTCTTTATACTTAAACATTACATTATTTGTCCAAAAATCACCATGATTTAAAGTATTAAAATATTTATCGGTCGGCTCAATAGCAGTTTCTGCTTTTTCCATAAAATATGGTAAAATTTTTTTTATTTTTTCACCATAAATTACGTACTCTCCACCCATATTACTTGCCACTATACCACATCCTTCAGTGAAATTCTTAAAAAATGTACTAAAATGATGTGCATGACTGTTAAGTAAACCGCGATCAAATGATTTCAAATAATTATTTCCAAGTTCATTATGTAGAATTAATGAAGCAGCATGCATTTTAGCCATTCTGTTCAAAGCATACTTAGTATGTTTTAAATCTAACCGTTCAATACGATCTGCGGTTTTGTAATTCATTTGTGATAAATCTTCCATTATTATAGCTATGTGTTTACGATCTACAAATATTACTTCTGGGAAAATATATTCATCTTTATTAATTCTTCTCAGGATTTGTGTTAGCCGAGGCAAAACATTCTCGTACATATTCATTTCACATTCAAATGTTCGGTATTCTTTAAAAATTTCACTAGCAAATTTATTTTCTTCAAATGAGGTTTTTACAATATAATTATAAATTGTATTTTCAGAATTTGGGTTTTTGGAGTCATTAAAACTTATTTTAATTCTTGTCATTACACTAGCATAATTGTCACCTTTTTGAGTTGCTGGTACAATTTCTAAATTTTTAATTTTAAAATTATTTGATTTCCTATAAGATCTAAAAACTTCTTCCAAATAATCTTTTGTTAACCAAATTGGAGCTGCATGAAATCCTTTATTAAGTGGCATACTTAAAGAATATGTTTTTTTTTTAAGAATATCTGAGATAAAATATTATTTCTTATAAGAAAATTTAACTTGTGAATATCTTAATAACAATTTCCTTACTAAATGTAAAATGCATTTTTTTCTTTCTTATATTCCATTATAAAACTTTTTAATGTAAATCTTAAATAAATACGAGTACGAAAAGAAAGTTAGTTATATCAAGTTATACCATACTTACAATAAGTTAAAAAATATTTTAAATCTCCCGTAAAGAATTTTTGTATTTTAAGTGTAATATAAGCCTCAGATATTTATCTAAATTTTCAGTAGCTAAGCAATATTCACTACTCAGTTGAACAAGATATTCAATTTGAACATATTGCAGATTAAATTTAATGGAGCCCAAAAATTTTGTAAAAGTCATATTTTTTGTCAAAATGATTTTGCTCTAGAATTGAATAATGATCGTATATTATTTACTAGATTCAATACACCAAATAGTTAATGTATTCAGGATTACAAACAAAAATTTAATTTATAATACCATTCGAGTACAGCTTGCACGATCTTAAAAGTTTTGTTTTCATAAATCATATTAAATTAACTGATTTGCAAGTTTTCTGTTTATAGTTTGTAAGTATATTTTCGCTATACATATACATATGTGCATATAATTGACTGCACATTTCAGAATTCAAATACGGATAACTTATCGTTTCAGTTATTTAACTAAGTTAATCTTGAAAATTATTTTTGTTATTTTTCTAAGATATTTACGATTACAGTATTTTACTATATTTAAGATGGCTACCTAAAATTTTATTATACTATTCTTAATCGTCATGTAGTTTTAATTTTTATTTTAGAAAAAATACAAATATTTAAGTCGGGTTTTAGACAAAACATTGAATTTTTCTCGAAGTTATATTAAAGCCAATTGAAGCTCACTAAATTAATCGAAGTTATATTAAAGCCAACGATTTGAATTTTAACTTGCTTTTGTTTGATGAAAAATTGAAATTTCATTTCAAGAACTGGAAACTTATGCCTGAGTTAATTTGAAAACTTGGAACATTTAGGTGGAATTTTTACATTATTTATTAATTACTTATGATTCCCGCAAATACAATTAATTTTACCACAAATGTTATGCAGAACAAGTCATTTATTTGTGACTGTGAAAATAGTCTAGACACAAAAACAAAAGTGTCCCCAATTTGCACGAAATTAATATTGAACTTACATTACTTATATTATGTCGATATTAATATCGAAAAATAATGTTGACATTTTTTTTAATAACAATACCGAATGTGCAGATAGTAACAGCATTTTATTATTATGCATTTAACCATATTAATAATGGATAGAAACTACATAAGTATGATCCCGTGGGAAAACGAAGAAGATTTATTAGTGTAATAAGATGTAAGTAAAAAAAATATTAAATTGAGACATCAATTGGGTAATTTTGAAAAGATCTACATACACATGTATATAAAATTCTCAGCTTAATTCAAAGTGTAAAATTTTTATTTTGTTATTCTTTATTTCATTAATATGTTTTTTTATTATTATGTAAAATATTCTCAAGCTTTCATATATTTTTACAGTAGCATCAAAATATTTCGAATCAATCGAATGTAAGAGACTTTCTTGTTATATTAAAAATATGGACGATTCCCCTGTTCCCTATTCTTTATTCGATTTTTGACTTAAACTTTTAAATTAAATTAAAAATATTTTATTGCATCTTGAAATTAAAAAACAAATCATTGTTCCATCAACCCAAAATATTGCCATTCATTTTATATAGGAAGTTATTATGATTGGTGGAGCCAGTAACTAATCGAATCGAACTAACTTGGCGAATACAGCAACATTTCAAATCATAGTCGGCTAATAATTTAAAAATTTATTCGTTTCGTTGATCATTATAAGGCTCTTAGTTAATAGCAGTAATAGTGGCAATTGTTTATATATTGCAATTAATAATGAGAATGGATGTATTAAGAAGTTCTTCAGCTTTTATACTATTTTCATACTATTTGAATTCATTGAAGAATATTTTCTATTAATCACTATAGCTGCAATCTGATTTCTTTAATTTTCTAAATAACTTTGCCACATTTTCACATTACGTTTTAGAAAACAATTGACGCAAAGCACCTCGTATAAAATGTATTTAGTTCAATCCCATAAATTTCTTCTTACGTCAATTCATTCCGAATCATAAAACAGAATGAAAAATTTATAGTACCTTCCGTTATCTAAATACATAATGTATTTGTTGTAATCTTCAGTTGTTTTAAATAGAAAATTTATCTTATATAGAAAATTTATATTGAAATGTTAATAAGTGAATTAAGATTAAAATAAATATTAGTTTATTAAACATGTAATATATGTAAATTAATAAATAAAATTAAGATTTTATAAAAATAATTCTCTATACGTACATGTAGTCATTCTAACAAATGAAAAAATGAAAATGTTGTTCAAATTAAAAATTACTGAGCTATAAGTTCTAACATTTTAAAAGAACTGTTCGCTCCGTGTGCAAGGTTTAATTAGAAACCATAAGTGAAAAAAACTACCACGTAAAATAAGAAATTTACACAACAAAAAATGGACAGAACTGAGCATAATATAATTAAAGATAGCAATGATTCTGAAGATATTCCTGAATGGATAAATAAAGATTATCTTGAAAATTGTTTAAAAAATTCATTTAAAGATGAATCAATAAAAATTCTAAATTTTTATACAAAATTAGCATCAAAAAAAGGTGAAAACTATGTAAGCTTAATAACACGTGTACTCATTGAATATGAAAATAAAAATTTAAAATATAATATTGGAAAATATATAATAAAATCATCAATTGAAGATGATCCAATAACAAAAAAAGTAATTAAAGAATATCAAGCTTTTGAAGATGAAATGCTAATGTATGGTGAAGCATTACCAAAAATTCAAGAATTAATGAATACTCAAAATAATCTTCAAGAAATTTCTGTTTTCCCAAAACCAATTTATTGTGATTTCAAAAATAATGCTATAATTTTAGAAGATCTTTTACAACGAGGTTACAAAGGTGCAGATCGTCTAAAAGGTCTAGATGAACAACATGCTAAATTAGCTTTAAAAAAATTAGCTATATTTCATGCCTGTTCTATTGTACTTGATCAACAAAATCCAGGATGTTTTAAGAAATTTGATCATGGTATTTACAATCGACATTCAGAAGGTCTTAATAAATTTTATTATACTTTAATGCAAAAGGTCTCATATGTAATACATAATTTCGGTGATGAATTCATAAATTATTCAAAAAAATTATTGAATTTAATTCCATATTGGATAGAAAAAGAACGTCAATGCTATGATCCAAAACCAAATCAATTGAATGTATTGGCGCATGGTGATTTTTGGTCTACCAATATTATGTTTAAATATGATGAACCTGGGCAACCGTTAGATGCAATTTTAATTGATTTTCAATTTAGTGTTTGGACTTCACCAGCAATTGACTTACATCATTTTTTTAATACATCTTTAGCTGGTTTACCAAATGCTGATAAAATGGAAAATTATGTTAAATATTATCATGATGAATTATTAGAAGCGCTTAAGTTATTAAACTTTAAAGAATTCTCTAAAATTCCTAATTATGAAAAATTTCTAAATGAATTTTGGATATCAAATGGATTTCATGGTAAGTTGTTGTTTAATTAACATTTCCAGTTCATATGAAAATATGTATTTATATATATAACATACTAAAATATAAACCATTGAGTTGCAAACATGCAGTAATGTGATATGCATATAGTAATTGTACTCTTATATATATATATATATATATATACAAGTACAAGTACATTTATGATTTTTATAATCTATTTGAAAATTGTTTTCTTACTAAGTATTTTACGTAATTTCTTCAAGTACTTATAATAAATTTTTTCCTTATTTATTTTTTTAGCAATTCAAATAACATTTCTCAATAAATCAACTTGCCTTCTTGGACATTGCAGTGCTGCATGCCCTGAAGCTTTATTCGGTAAAGGAGAAAAAGTGGAACGTTTTCAATGGGCAATAGCAAATAATAAACTTGTACACGAACATTGGAGAATTTTATTGCCATTTTTCGAAAAGAAAGGTTTACTCAACATATGATCATAAAAATTCAAAACTTCAATTGTTTGGTCCAAAGTAATATTCAAAAATAAATGTAAAAAAATTCTAATCAATAAAATTTGTTAACAAATTGTACTTAAATATTAAATTTCAGGAAAAACCGTCAGATTTTTTATATTTGTATAGTAAGTAGCTAAAATTTCATATTGACAGCAAGTCTCAATGTCTTGTTTCTAATTTATTCGAAAGATTTCATAAATTTCACTTCATAAAATTCACACACAAGATCGATTTATAGCAACAACCATGTACATTCAGGGGGCATATTCATGAGGAACATTACGCTCTAATAATAATGAGTCGTGATGCAATGTCACCCAAATAACACAAATATATAAGTAAACTCAGACATTAATTGTTTCGTATAAATCGATTCAGATGAAACTAAGATACAAATGCATCATATAGAAATTTGTTTCTGTGAAAATTGCTACATATATAAATTAGCCATCTTTACAGGATGTATTCATGAAACAGAACTAAATTATTAAATTTGTCATTAAATAAAAGCTTCTCTAATTCTCTAAGCTATCTTTTCTATTCTCTTCATATAATATTAGACTGATATGTTAAGTATAGTTATTGCTCAACAATCTTTATTCAAACATAAACTTGAGAGCCGCACTATGAGTAAGCAAAGGTTATCATAAAACTTTTAATAAATTTCAAAACGAAATTTCATTGATTTTTTTTAGTTTTATAATATTTTGTCCCTTTACTGTTAATCAGTTTGAAAAAAGCTTTTGTTCATTGCTAATTCTAGAACGATATCGGAGCGTACACACTCATGTTACGTCAAAGTATACTAGCTAAAAATTTCATATCACTTTCATAAAAGATTATTGAATGAAAGAGCGTACACGTATTTATTTGTAGAGAGCATTGTAAAGTGTACTTAAAGTTTCTTAAATATTTAGACTTCTATAAAACTGCATTTTTATATCAATTTGTCTTTCATTATAAACATAGATTTGTAATAATCTAAAACATAATTTCGGAATAATAATTTTATATAAAGAATTTTTAACTGGTGTAAATTTGTAACAAAAAAATTAAAATATTCGAAATAATGGAAGGCAATAAAAATATTTTTAATAGTGATTGTGACTCTGAAGATGTGCCCAAGTGGATAAACAAGGATTATCTTGAGAGAGTGTTGAAAAATTATTTTAAAGATAATTCATTAAAAATTTTAGATTTTTATACAAAATTGGCAACAAAAAAAGGTGAAAACTATGCAAGTTTAGTAATTCGTGTTGTTATTGAATATGAAAATAAAAATTTAAAATATAATATTGGAAAATATATAATAAAGTTATCAGTTGAAGGTGATCCAATAATGGCAAGAGTAATTAAAGAATATCGAGCTTTTGAAGATGAAATGTTATTGTATAGTGAAGCATTCCCAAAAATTCTAGATTTGATAAATACAAAAAGTGATCTAAAAGATTTGGCTCTGTTCCCAAAACCAATTTATTGTGATTTTGAACATAATGCTATAATTTTGGAGGATCTTTTACAAAGGGATTATAAAAGTGCAGATCGTGTAAAAGGTTTAGATGAACAGCATGCTAAATTAGCTTTAAAAAAATTAGCTGTATTTCATGCATGCTCTGTTATACTTGATCAACAAGATCCTGGATGTTTTAAGAAATTTGATCATGGTGTTTATAATCGTTATTCAGATGGTATAAGTGAATTCTTTTGTAAAACAATGTATAAAGTATGTAATGTCATACAAAATTTCGGTGGTGAATTCATAAATTATTCGAAGAAAATAAGGAATTTAATTCCACATTGGGTTGAAAAAGAACGTCAATGTTATGATCCAAAACCAAATCAATTGAATGTATTGGCGCATGGTGATTTTTGGTCTACAAATATTATGTTCAAATATGATGAATCTGGACGACCAATAGATGCAATTTTAATTGATTTTCAATTTACTGTTTGGGCTTCACCTGCTATAGATTTACATTTTTTTGTTAATACTTCTTTAGCTGGTGTACCTAATATTGAAGAAATGGAAAATTACGTTAGATTCTATTATAAAGAGTTTTTGGAAACTTTGAAATTATTTGATTTTGAAACAAAATTAAAAATCCCAAATTCGGAAGAATTTGTTTGTGATTTTTGGGAAAATGGTTTTAATGGTGAGTTTAATGTATTCTTTAAAAAATTTTAAATCTAAGATTAACAAAATTGCAATTTAAATGACTAATAAGAGTAAAAGTAAAACAAATATTTTTTAACAAAGAATTTTAATACGTTTTTGGGAACTTAAAATTTACGAATTGCTCAATAATCTTATTAATGCTAAAATTAAATAAGAATCTTTTAAAAATTTTTATAACACTTATTTTAAACAAAAAATTGATAATATTCTTGCTTTTTTTTAGCCCTTCAGAATTCATTTCTTGATAAGTCTATATCTTTTATGGAGGATGATAGTGCTGCATGTCCCGAAGCTATATTTAATGAAGGTGAAAAAAGGGAACGTTTTCAATTAGCGATGATAAGCAATAAACGAATTCAAGAACATTGGAAAATTTTAATACCAATTTTTGATAAAAAAGGTCTGCTTGATTTATAATGATAAAAAATTAATATTAATATACGCATAATAAAAATGTTATAATAATAGAATAAAATTTTCATTTATTTTAAAAATTGAGTTTATATATCACGGAATATTCTGAAATTAAATATCTAAAAGTCCCCGACGATCATAAATTGGTAACATATTTTTAACACCTTCTAAAACTCTCGGATTACTATATGCAACTTTACGAAAATTCATTGATCTTTCATCAGTTTTCATTAGTGTATCGAATTCAGCATCTTCAGTTTGATCATTTATTAAGAGCACCTGAGAAGTAGCTGTTACAACAAACGCTATAATAAATTCAAAATATTAAATATATTAAAAATTATTCACATTAACCAACTACATACATAAAATTCTTATTTGATTTTTACCTAAAAATTCTTTTTCAGCCATTTCTAAACGAAATTTATGTAGATCTGGAACTTTTCCAACATAATTTAATTTTTTTAAAATATTCACGAGATTTTCATGGTAGCACTGAAAGAGTTCATCTTGTCGTTTATGTCGTACTTCTTCTTGAACTGAAGTATTAATAAAGTAATGTAAATCCCATGCCGGGGACGTCCATTTGCTAAATTGAAAATCAATTAAAAGAGCATTTTCAATTTCACCATTCTCTTTATACTTGAACATCAAATTATTTGTCCAATAATCACCATGATTTAAAGTATTAAAATATTTATCATTTGGTTCAATGACACTCTCTACTTTCTCCATAAAATATGGTAAAATTTTCTTTATTTTTTCACCATAAATTACGTATTCTCCACCCATATTACTTGCCACTACACCACATCCTTCAGTGAAATTCTTAAAAAATGTACCAAAATGATGTGTATGACTGTTAAATAAACCGCGATCAAATGATTTCAAATAATTATTTCCAAGTTCATTATGTAGAATTAATGAAGCAGCATGCATTTTAGCCATTTTGTTCAAAGCATACTTAGTATGTTTTAAATCTAAACGTTCAATACGATCTGCGGTTTTGTAGTTAATTTGTGATAAATCTTCCATTATTATAGCTATGTGTTTACGATCTACAAATATTACTTCTGCGAAAATATATTCATCTTTATTAATTCTTCTCAGGATTTGCGTTAAACGAGGCAAAACATTCTCGTACATATTCATTTCACATTCAAATGTTTTGTATTCTTTTAAAATTTCACTAGCAAATTTATTTTCTTCAAATGAGGTTTTTACAATGTAATTATAAATTGTATTTTCAGAATTTGGGTTTTTGGAGTCATTAAAACTTATTTTAATTCTTGTCATTACACTACCATAATTGTCACCTTTTTGAGTTGCTGGTACAATTTCTAAATTTTTAATTTTTAAATTATTTGATTTTCTATAAGATCTAAAAACTTCTTCTAAATAATCTTTTGTTAACCAAATTGGTGATGGGTGATATTCTTTTCCACATTGAGATGTCATTATTAGAAATCTTAGTTCCGAATAAGTTGAAAATATTTTGTCTACTAAATGTTAGAGAAAATTTTGTAAAATTATGTTGAAATTAGTTCAAACAATGGTCCCAAAATTTTATAAGTATGAGTATTTAATCTTATCATGATAAGGATAATAAACACAAAAATTTGTGAATGTTGAATTTTTATATAAATACTAATAAATTAAATTAAATTTTAAACTCGAAGAAATTTTTTGTGAGCTGTAATAGATTTATTTGCTTAACTATTACAAATACTAAAAAATGGTGTTTTAAACGCTGTGTACATTGTCGTTAAAATATTTTTAGGCATTGTTTTTAGGTAACAATTAACTATGTATTTAAAATTTCTAAAAGCACAGTGAAACGTTATTGCAGCTCTTAAAAAATAATGATTTTGTTAACTCTCTTTTTATGTAGCATCTCAGATTTATTGAACAAGCATCCCGTTTATTATTTATTAGATTTGTAATAGTACAACATTGTAATGCGATGGCATGCAAGTAAAACCTTTGTTATTTATATAATAATGGAAATAATGACATTTATAATATCTTTGCTACAATTTTTTTTTCTATAAATTTGTCAGCAAAAAAATGAACTATATTTTATTTGAATAACTTTAAAATTTTAAACAATTTACTTTAGTACTTATGAGCTTATAATTTATTTAATATACAATTAAAATTATAAAGATATAAAACATCAGAAGATTCACAGTTAACGTAAAATTATTATATTTGAATTGACTAAGTAGAGATTTGACTACTTACTTAGTTTGATTGCAAATAAAAGAGAATTAGTATGGAGTTGATCATGCCAACAATGTGATCATAAATTACATAAATTGGTGATTCTGGGAGTTGCATAAAAATAGTTTTTTTCAAATAGTTTACATATATATATTAAATTTTATTTTGTTATAAAGGAAAAGCAACAATTTCGGCAAAATTATTTAAGAATAGAATCCAATTTTTCGATAGGGCAAACACGTTTTGAGATATTTGATAAAATTACTCTTGATATTACTATTTAAACCAATTATTCGATAATTATGCTGTTACTGTTATAAAAAATTCAGCTCAATTTTTGGATTGAGACAGACGGGTAGACAGGCAAAAAGACGGACATAGTTGAATCGACTTACGTTTAGATTAATTAGGTAATTAACGATTTCCAATACTTGAGGAACTTGCAAAATATTTTCTTATATAATTTTGTTTTTCAGTAAATAGTTGATTTTAATAAAATTTAATTTGAAAGAGAAAGTTGTCTGATAAAATCTTTTTTATCTTATCTTTTTTTTCTTGCCTTAATTTGTTTCAAGAACTAATATTTACTTTTCACTTCCTATTGCTAAGTTAATATACAGGTACACAAAATTTTAAGATTTTTATAGTTATTAAATAATTTTTTTTTTAATATAAAAAATCTGATATGGTCAACACACAAACGAAAGCAAATTGCATTTTTCCCAAACGACATTCAAAGTGAGTGAGTTTGGGACTAGTGGTCTAATAATCGGTTAACAATTATCTGCCTAATTAATATTCTGTATAAATGCATACTTCTACGAACATTTAATTATGTAATTATTGCAATTACGCCGACACATCGTTAAAAATATAGTTTCTCTATAGGGAAAAAACTAGATATTAAAAATTTTGTATGATTACAATACCTCCTTTATTAAATTAATCAAAGCTTTTATGAGTGCATGTTGTTTGAAGATCAACAGTCATGTGATGATTTACTACAGTGCAATAAAATTGCATTAAAAAAGTTAAATAAAGGATAAAATGAAGACTCTAGAATTTGCAAAAAGAAAATCATTAATACCCAAAATTGTAAACTCAAAATTCAGTCATTTTTAACAACGCTATCGTTTGACAGAGTTCTCTCTTAATTTTTTGTTTAGAAAATAAAAGAAAAATTATTTGGTAATGGATGGACAGAACACCACAGACAATGATAATTGTGACTCTGAAGATGTTCCTAAATGGATAAATAAGGATTATCTTGAGTTAGTTTTGAAGGATTACTTTAAAGATAATTTGATAAAAATTTTAGATTTTTATACAAAATTAGCAACAAAAAAAGGTGAAAACTATGCAAGTTTAGTAATTCGTGTTGTTATTGAATATGAAAATAAAAATTTAAAATATAATATTGGAAAATATATAATAAAATCATCAATTGAAGATGATCCAATAACAAAAAAAGTAATTAAAGAATATCAAGCTTTTGAAGATGAAATGCTAATGTATGGTGAAGCATTACCAAAAATTCAAGAATTAATGAATACTCAAAATAATCTTCAAGAAATTTCTGTTTTCCCAAAACCAATTTATTGTGATTTCAAAAATAATGCTATAATTTTAGAAGATCTTTTACAACGAGGTTACAAAGGTGCAGATCGTCTAAAAGGTCTAGATGAACAACATGCTAAATTAGCATTAAAAAAATTAGCTATATTTCATGCATGTTCTATTATACTTGATCAACAAGATCCAGGATGTTTTAAGAAATTTGATCATGGTATTTACAATCGGCATTCTGATGGACTAAATACATTTTTTTGTAGCTCACTGCATAAAATCTGTACAACCTTACATAATTTTGGTGACGAATTTATAAATTATTCAAAGAAAATAAGGAATTTAATTCCACATTGGGTTGAAAAAGAACGTCAATGTTATGATCCAAAACCAAATCAATTAAATGTATTGGCGCATGGTGATTTTTGGTCTACAAATATAATGTTTAAATATGATGAATTTGATCAAGATGATGAATCTAGAAAACCATTGGATGCTATTTTAATTGATTTTCAATTTAGTATTTGGGCTTCACCAGCAATAGATTTGCATTATTTTTTTAATACTTCTTTGGCTGGTTTACCAAATATTGATGAAATGGAAAATTATGTTAAATATTATTATCATGAATTATTGGAAACATTGAAATTATTCGAGTTTAAAGAATATTCTAAAATTCCAAATTTTAAAGAATTTCTTCAAGAATTTTGGGAAAATGGATTTCATGGTAAGTTTTAAAGCAAAACTGTATGTTACTTGATCATAAAATTCGTTTAAAATTATTTTTTATAATTCTAATGCATTTGCTTTCTATGTATATAAATTTAAATTAGTTCGTATAAAAAAAATCTATATTATAGACCATTTGCTTTTTATTTTTAATATTTTTAGCACTTCAAACAGCATTTATTCATAAATCAATAGCTTTCTTGGAAGATAGCAGTGTCGCATGTCCTGAAGCTTTATTTTGTGAAGGTGATAAAATGGAAAACTTTGAATGGGCAATGATAAATAATAAACGTATTCAAGAGCATTGGAAAATTTTATTACCGTGTTTCGAAAGAAAAGGTTTATTTGACTTATAATTAAATAAACATAAAAAAAACTGTGTAAATATATTTGTAAAAAAAATATCAATAGAAGAACCAAATTTATTTACTTTAAAAAATAATCTTACTATAATCATATATGTATATATATAACAATTAAGTTTACACCTGCATGGAAATACTATTTACTATACTTATTTAACAATTTAATCATCTTGTTGTATAATATGTGCATATGATTTTAATTATAAAAATATACAACAAAATATTGCACAAAAAGAGAGAGAGAGTGTTCTAATTCTCAAATTCAATTAAATTTTTCAAAAATTATATTTTATAAATTATAATGCTTAAAAATCTAATAGGCCTTTATTGTCAAAAAATGGTAATAGAGCTTCCATTGTTTTAACATAACGTGGATTTAAATATGCATTCATTTTAAATTTAATACCATCATCAGATCCTTCCAAGAAATTTTCTATACTAGCATCTTCTGTTGGATCTAATAATACAGCTGACATTACACCTGAAGCTGTTCCCAATGCTAAAATTATAAATTGAAAAATGAAATTTTCTATAAATTAACATTTATATATGAAAAATATTGCTTACCCCAAAATTTATCTTTAAGTAATTGAATATGAATATCTCTTAATAATGGTATTCGTTTTGGATAACTTAATAATTTTAAATTTTCAACAAGTTTATCATGATAGTATTTAACAAAAAAATCGAATTCACTTATTTTTGTTTCAAAACTTGTTGATGATATAATAAAATAATATAAATCAGAAGATGGGCTACCATATTTAGAAATTTGATAATCAACAAAATAAATTTCATTAATATTATTATTGCCTTCTGTATCATATTGAAACATTATATTATTACACCATAGATCACCATGATTCAAAACATTGAAATTATTTGGATCAACTTTACTCACATCAATTAGTATATCAATGAAGTTGTCCTGAAATTTTCCCTGCAAAAGAAATTGAAATATAATGAGTACAAAATATTTTTTAGGTAAAAATTTAAAAATTATATTTTTAGCATTTTTGTAAAATACTTACTATTTTATCTACATATTTATCACCATTTTTATATTTTAACATACAATCTATATAAAGTTTTGAATTAACTTCATTCATTTTTTCAAATATTTCTCTAACATTCTCATTATAAAAACCATTTAAAAATAAATCAGGATATGGACCATATTTTTCAAACCAACATGCTGAAGCTGCATGAAATTGTGCCATTTTTTCTAATACTCTTTTCGAATGTGTTATATCTAAACCGATTTGTCTTTTAGCATTTTTAAAATTTTTATTTTTTAAATCTTCCATAATAATTTCACCACCATGTTCATTCGATACACTATAACATTTTGGTCCAAATGTTACTGATTTACCAATATCAGCATAAAGTTTTTCAAATTCTGGTATAATTTTACCATACATTTGCATTTCTTTTGGAAATAGATTCATTTTTTTAACAACATCAGCTCCAACATCATTTTGTGGCATCATTTTCAATATATATGAAATAGATGTTTCAGTTCCATCTAAAATTTTAATATATAATATTTTGTTACATGCACATATATGTATGTAATGTAATTTATATAAGTTGTATGAGACAAACCATTTAATTCCAAGTCCATTTCAATTCGTAACATATCTGATGCATAATTTTCACCACCTCCAAAAGCTGCAATAGGTTTAAAATTTTTTACTTTAAATCCTTTACCAACATGCTTTTCCAGGACATTATGAAAGAATGTTTCATTTAACCATTTTGGAAATTTTGGATTGTCATTATCTTTATTATTATTTATTTCCTCTGTACTTTTATCATTTGGTGCCATTTTCTAAAAATATTAAAGAAAATTATTTTTGATTAATAAATAAATATACTTTATATCTAATTTCATTTCCTAAAATTATTTTTTGTTCTTTATCATATCAGAGAAGAAAAAATATCATTTTTGTTATGTCAATATTTGTTGTAAAAAGAGAAGTGTATAGGAGACTGAAAATAATAAACAACAAAAATCGGCAGATCTAAAATTTGTAAATTAAACTGGTATAATACCCTGACAATTTTCCAAATCTTTATTTCAAAAAGCAACCATAATTATTAATTTTAATAAGATAATATAAGGTTATGAAATATATTATAAAAAGTATGATAAAGTCAATATTAGAAGAATATTTAGTACGAGTATAGCAAATTAAAATAAAAAATTTTTCGTAATTTAATTGTAATCCGAGAAATCGCATTGTCATAAATAAATTACTATTTAAAAAATTATTATGTAATTTAATTTAATTATATATATAATATTATATTTGAACAAAGATAATTAATTGAAACCTGTAAGGACTTACTTTAATTAAAAAATTTTATAGTATACTTGTATTGTTTTTATAATCGAATTCAATACAAATATATGTAGATAATTGAGAGTTATTAAGATAGCTAGAGTATGAAAGCTTCAAATTAAAAACAATTTCGCTTAAGAATAGAGTTAACTATCTGTACAAAAGTATATTTTATGATTAATTTCTGTTGTACAATAATAAAGAGAATAATACGATTTTCGCATAATTATCGGCGTATAGTCTTACTAAATAAAGTTTTAATTTTCGAAACTCACAAATGCGTATAATTAAATTTTTCTATTCAAACGTAACTTAAATAATTTTAATTAAAATTCTATTTCTATTCTCTTAGTTATATTATTTTTACTAGCAATGTTAAAATAACATTTGTCCCAAAGTTTTTGAAAATTTAACATATTTTTTTAATTTTTTATTCGATTTTTTTGGATATTATCTTACATGTTTGTGGAAATGGAATAAAAATTAAAAATTATGTTAACATTACATATTTACTTTTCAAATATTTTATTAGAATAAAATTTTCTAGGAAAATTTTTTGAAATTTTCACCTTTAATTCTTTATGATCTATATTTTATTAAAGTCAAGACATGCACCAAAATGCAGATAAAAAGTCAAAGTGATTTTATACAACAATAAAATTTTTTGTTTGATGATTCAAGTTAAATTGATTTTAGATGCATTTTGGTATATTAGCCATAATACACATAATATTTATTATAATTGCTTAAATTTAATAAATAAATTGTAAAATATACAAATTAATTGAAGAAATTTAAAATTATTTCAACAATTTTCATGGGTCTGCTATTTGGTTTATTGATATGCACTTCAAACACATTGTTTAATATATTATATAACTCAGTTAATTAACAATATAAATAATTAAAGAAAACTGTGAATAAAATTCTAAAAACCTGGACATATTGTGTTCAAAATAAAATATAATGTCACAATTTAAATTGTATTAATTAAAAATTTTCACTATAATTAATAAAAATTATCTAAATATTTCTAAATTTTCAAATTCATTTATTTTAAGAAATTCGATTATTCAATTCGATAATTTAATTATTTTAAAAAGATCGAAATAATTTTTAAATATAATATGATGCTCATATAATCGATAGTCGAAATAATGACGATTTATGTCATAAATTTTATTTAATGTATTATGATATTTTATTATACAAGTTTAAAAACCACATTTTATTTATTGAATTTTTTAAAATATACATTATTTTTTTATTACATATTGTAAATTCTCGTAAAAAATTAAATTTAATTATTGTATGAATTAATGACTACAGTAATAAAATATTTTGGACTACTTTGGAAACCTTATGTTTATTGTATTGAAAATTTCTTAAATAGACTTAATTGATTTATTTGAGTAGCAATATTTTGTTATACATATATTACTTGTGTTTTATTATTTTAAAGATAAATCTGTCAATACAATGTTTTTTCTTTTTTTGATATAATAGGGAATAAAGATCAATCTCCAAATTTAATTTCAATCAATTTCAAACTAACTTTTGAATATTTGCTTTCATTTTTTTTAAAAAATATATGAAAGCTTTATCCATATTATATTGAAATTTTATTGAATGTGGTTACAGTCATTCTTTTGAATTCAAAACCTCATAAATAATATTATTAAATAATATATTATATAACATAGAGTATTCTGAACATAATATAAAATTAATTTGTGTCTCATATTAAAATTTATAATTGTATGTATAATAAGTAAGCATATACATTGTATGTATTTTACTTATAAGAAGATATTCCAATATTTTGTACTAAAGATAAGCCCCTATCTTCAAAGAAATTATTTTTCAAATTTCTATCATTTATAATTCAAGTCATTTTACGTTTTTGTTTTATTTTATGAATTTCGTAATAGAAAATATCAGTAGGGTATCTTTTTAAATTATCATTATAAGTATTTGATAAATAAAAAAAATTGTGTGCTATGTTTAAATAAATCATATAAAACGAAGATAAGATTATAAGAAAGTAATTTGAAATGAGGAACTTATAAAACATTTTTTTGCAATATTTTTGTTAATTTAAAGAATTTAAATTGTTATATTATACACATTTCAGATTAGGAGTTGTTATTGTTATATTGTGTACCTATACTTATAGTAATATAATGTTGGGACAACTTTGAAGTAATTGAAGTATTTATTTTAAAAATTAAAGTCATGTTATTATTAATAAGAGATTAATTAATTTAGAATCATAATCAGCACTACGATATCTGAGATTTTTAAATTAATTTCTTCACTGTACTGAATAAATGCAGTAATATAGTTTTTAAAATTTAAATTCCGAATATTAACAAAAAATTAGTGATAATTTAAGAAATTATGTTTATACTTAAATCTTAAGGTATTAAGAGAAATATGGAAATCAAGGATCATTAAAATATCATTTCGATGTTTTCTTCCTTTAGTAATTCAATATCAAGTTCAATATAATGTAAATATTTCACAAGAAACTGCAATATTTTTTTTTCAGTATGATTTTTGATAAAATTATTTTTTAATTATTATTCTTGGTAAAAATTATATTTACATTTTATTTAATTTTTTTTATAATTATATTCCTTTTCGTTTCACTTTTATTATTTTTAATAATTATCACGTTTTGACGATGCTATGGTATGCTCAATTAAAATTAATTGATTTTTTTTTTTACTGTAAAATTCCAATTTTTAAAATTTAATCCAAAAAAATTTTTTTTTATAGCAGAACTCAATGTTGTTACTAGTAAAGCTTTCCAGAAGATACTAACCAAACCATATAAGTAATAAAATATTTGTAGAATTCAAAATTAAATTGAAACACAAACATTTACATGACATACATACGCGTAGCTATTTTAGCATAAACTTAGTTATATTAACCACTATGTATATGTATGTATGTATATAGTAAACTACTTATAGTAAAATTTAAAAAACAAAAACAAAAAGTTTCTCAAATTAGTAGATAATAATATTATGTAAAACTATGAAACTTAAAAGTAAGCTAAGAGAATCTATACACAATATTTCTGTAAAATTAATAATTGAGACTTGAGAGTTGTAGATATTTGATTGAATTGTATAATATAAATGTCAATGTATATATGTACAGTGTGTGTATGTATTTTAATTTTCATTCATTATAAGTACGCGTATATATGTAAGTATTTTGAACTTGATTGCCGAAATCTCTAAAAAATTATGAATTGTTTTTAAAAGTAAGTGTATAAGGAATTTTAAATTGAGTTGATTTCATTTACCAACTTATTATTTTTTATTCCTCACAAAGGATTTGCCACTATATTTGTCGTCGTTGGTTAATTTCTATAGCATGAGTGTGTTTAGAAATGAAAATATTTCTTATTTAAATGGGAACTATTTTTATTATTCACTTGTTTTTGTATTTTTGCTATTGTTGTGATTTTTTAATAATTTAAAACCCCCAATACTTCAACGATATTATTATTTTAACGATATTTCCCCCATACTATTTTTCTTTTCATCCAAATATTTTTGAGTTGTGTTTGGAGTTATGAAGCAAAATACATGATTTAATATTTTAAATGTGTTGGCAACCTTGTTTTAATAATAATAAAATTGAAAAAAAAAAACAATAAAATTGTCCAATTTACTGCTGATTTTTGGAAGTATAAAATCAGAACAAAACCAGAGAAAATTGTTTTACTATAAAAAAACCGGTGTATAAAAGAATTTCAATTATATAATATCCAAACACAGAACTTTTAATAAATACGTCGTACATACTTGTGTATATACATATGTGCTCAGCTTATAAGTTAGTAAATTCAGATTTAATTGCGCCATAATTATTTGCCTTAATCATTAATAAATACTAAATATATATTAATTAGTTTTAAATTGTTATATAAGTAAAATAATTCAAAACCATGATCTAACCTTTATTCTAACTTTTTACTCTATAATTATATCAGCTACATACAATACAATAAAAATAAAAAGTGACAGTGAAAAAATATTGAGAGTATATAAATTAAGGCGGCGTCAAACTTCAGGTTTTCAAAACAGCGTATTTCTTTACGAGAATTTAGGTTTAAATCCTGTACTTATAAATGTTGTTTTTTATTAAAATAAATATCTTGTTATCAAATTTTGAATTTGAAGAACTTTTAGAGTATAATCATTTATAATCATTGTGATTGTAATTAATTTAATAAAATATAAAATACTGCACTAATATTATTTTTGTTTACATATTTTTATTTTTACAGTAGTTTGATAGAAATGATAGTGCTGAAGAAATACGTACATTATGTGATCAAGAATCGAAATATATTTGTATCGATAATATTATAAACTGCTTAAAGAGTCATTTCAAGAGTTGGTTACTTTAAAGAGCCAATTCAATTTTCTGTACTTAATATAATTTTATACAAACAAATTTGTGTATACTAAATTAAATTTATCTACTCGGATGGGCAGACAGAGTTATACTAATATAGTACGTGTATCTTTTCTAAATTTTTTTTTTTTTGGAAATGTGCCAAAAATTAACATAAACGATAAAAAGTACTGCGAATTAAAAAAAAATTTTTTTCAGATTTACATTTTAATATGTAAATATTAAATGATAAATGATTTTATACAGAATGTAAGGTGTTTGTAATGACATCTGTTGATGATATTTCTAGAATTTGTATGCGAACTACATATTACATTATATTACATTATACAAAGATATGCAATAGTAATCTGAAAAATTATCGTTTATTTCATTTAAATGGAAGTTAGAAAAATATTTTGAGGTCATAATTTCATACTTTTAACAATAAGAAAATAAACGCACATTGCACTATTGGGCCCTATATAGTATGCGACAAATGTACTAACCGGTTTATTTATGTACACATGTATGAATGGTATATTGTTAATCATAGTTTATCGTTAAGAAAACTATAAAATAATTTTATAAACTTTTGTTATACAATATAACAATGTATAAAGATGCTGAACAGCTTTAATAAATTATAGCTTTAGATTTAGTACCATTCATATTTAAATTTAAAATAATGTCTAAATTATACTATAAATTTAATAAAAAAAATGAAATTTTTAATAGTAGATTAAGAAAAAAACATATTGAGTATAAAAACATGCATTGTCATATTTTTTAATTTTATTAAATATTAATTATAAAATAGAATATGATTCTTATAAAAATTTAAAGGAAGAATAAATATGCACAGATATTTCAATTAGAATTTTTTTTTATTTGATAGTTGACTTAATTCATTAGTTTATTAAAAAAATATTATTCCATGGTACTTTCATAAACATGTGTTCTAACACTGACTTACTGAATACATGCATGTGTATAAAAAGATCTCATCAAATTATCATTAATATTATTTATTATTAAAAATATCATAATTTAATTTACGATTTAATTGATTCCATGCGAAATCGGTTTTGTTCAAAGAAATTTAAGAAATAAAAATTATTTAAAAAATGAAACAGTTGTCGTCGATCCTCGTTTATTAAAAATAAAATATGTAGGTTGCGTTCGATTTAAGAGTATATAACGCTCTAAATGTATGAAACTCTAACATTACGCATAACAGTTACTCAACTATACAGCCATTCATATACCTATAGGAGAGTTGTTGAGAAATAGTTATAAAAATTAATTACGATAGATTGCCTTATATTTTTTGTTACTGCTCTAAGAATAAATTTCATAAAAAATAGCAATACAAATGTGTTTTTCCATAGAACATTTACGTAATGTACTTTCATTTAGTTTAGAATTTTGCATATTTTTTAATGGGACACGATCATTATTTTTGTATAATTATCTATTTATTTAATTAAGTAAATATAAAGTACAAATAGAACGAAGTCCATTTTGTCTTTTATCGAAAATATTTTATATTTTTTATTCGCATAGGTATAAACATAATTTTGATAAGAATCACCAAATATTAAAGAACAAGAAATTGAATTTGCTAATCAAAATCAAATATATTCTTAAAATGTGGTTAAAGTTAAATATATTTGAATAAAATATTTAATTGTCATGATGAATTAACAAAAAAAAAATTATAATAACATAAATTTTATTATAAAGCTATTTTATATTAAATGAATTAATAATTGAGAATATCATGAAATACGATTATTCACATACAAAATTACAATTAGGTAAACAAGAAGATTATTTCTTTGATTACTTTATAATAACTAATACTTGTAATTATATAAAATAAGAAAATTGTAATTAAATTATCAAAAGTTTATAATTTCATTATACAAAAATTATAATTCGTGAAAAATCTTGTATTGAAACCTATACGAAAAATACATATGCAAGCTCTCGTTCGTGTATTTGATTTGATTACTTCATATATTTTCACAGGTAAATATAGTCAATTTCGGGCGAAAATATTATAGTTGCATATAGAGTATAAGAATAATTTTGATGAAAATACTTATATACAAGGTGTTGGTGAAAATTTATATTTGAGATAATAATATTTCTTCCTTAAAACAAAAAGCATTAAAGAACAGTTCAATTTATTGAATTATTAGTATGGCTCATATCTAAATTATTAGTCTAAATACTAATCTACAAATCTACTGTAGATATGAAAACTACACACCAATATCTAGATATTTTCATACACATAAAAATTATTAGAAAATTAGAATTCATTAACAAATCGAACGGGTTTATATTTATTAAAATATGAATGAATTTAAAAACATTTACATAAAATATTCCTATTTAAATATTCATATACATATGAATATTTGTATATACATTATATACATATATATACATATATATAATCTCTTGAAATTTGCATTCACTAATTTCCAATATTTTAAATCATACTATGTATGTATATTGAAATTTTGGTATTTCATATAACACCTGAAAAATTAAAGCATGCAAAGGTTTTAAAATTTTATTAAATTTTTAAGATGGAGACAGAAACTTAGTCAAGTTCAAACAACTGAATTAATAAATTCAATCATAAAAAATATCAAAAGAGTTTTATGACCGTTATGAGCTCGTTATGTAAAAACTATTATTGGTATGCAGTGTTGGTTCATAAAAAAAATTCACGCAACTTGATACAGTTTTCTACTTACTAAAAATATTTATGAATTTTTTTTATTATTGTAACAGCAATTTTTTTTTCACCCTATATCAATTTAATAAATAACCTTCATCTCTTTTGGGCATATACTTACATACATTAAATATACATTTTGTATTATACATTGGCATCTCTTTTATTTTTTCATTTTTTATAAACCACAAATTAATAAATAGGAAAACTAAAACAAAAATAAAAAAATGAAATTTTCAATTAAATCTAAAATTGGTTTTAAAAGCTCTTTGATTATTATTATTATATTGTATACACACATATATTATATGGATATGTATTTAAAGAAAATATGAAACTTTTAAATTTAAGCCTGTAAATTAGAAAAATTTTTATTATGAACTTGAACTTTAATAGATATTAAGCTCAGGCTTAAAAAAAATACTGGCATGCGAATAAATATCGCAATATTTTATGTGTATGTATGTATACTTCGGTCTTTAATATTAATTTAAAAATTAGGTTAACTTACATACATGTGTATGTTCATTCATTCATACATATAAGAAAATATAGCAATTGCAGTAAGCAACATTGTGATTTTATAGCAAAGCTCGTTGATAATTTAAACTTTTAAAAATTACTTCTTTTCCTCATCATACTTGCTTTTAAACATTTAACTCTCTTATATTTTATTTCTTCTTCGATCTCTTTATAAATAATTTATGTTAATTTCAGAGAAGATAGTTCAAGCCTCGAAAGAATTACATTCAACTCAACCATATCATATCTGTATTATAAATGTTCATCGCAATTCAATTGTAAATTAAATTTTAAATTTCTTTGAATAGTTGTTGCTCAATTCAAACATCAATATATTTGTTTGTTACGTTAACAGACAAATATGCTCGTATTGATGTTTGAGCAGTGGTAATGCTAAAAAAACAACCCGGAATAACAAAATTTTCAATGTGTATATGGTACTCCTGCATATTTTATTTTGTGATTTTCCTATGTACGAGTACTTACATATACAAATATGTTGTTTAAATCTTGCTGGACATTCTGTAATTTCACTAATATTCCATAATCACATTTCGTTATCAAATATCAATATATATGCACGTATTCTCGACATATTCTCTTAAACATTTCGATTGAATTTATTAATATTTTAATTCCACAAATTTCAACATTTCAATCAAATCCATCTATAGCATATGGTTATGATTATTCTTTCATATATGTAAGTACAAAATATTTGTATGAAATTATTATTATAATTTAGGAATAAAGGGTACAAGAATGCACCTGATTATTTAACTTATATGATTTTTAAAAGTTACTATATTTTTTATGGAGGACAAAAAAGTTTTCTTCCATAAAAACCAAAATGAATTGCTCTCTCATAAACAATATTTCAAATTCAAAATTTCATCCAGATTAAAGCGTGAAATATGTTTCAGTAACGAGTAAAAATAAATTCGATCATTTTACAAAGGTTTATGATTTAAAATATATTAAGCATTTGTTTTCATATTTAATCATTGTTAAATCTCTTATATATTAAATCTCCTAACAATATTGTTAAATAATTTTTTCTGGAAAATTGAATTATAAGTAAGGGGTGAGTTTTTTGACTTTTGATTTTTAATTAAATCCAATTAGGGTGAATTATTTTTTTTCGCCTTATAATTTTGGTTAAATAACAAAATGTAATAATAAAGTATTTCTTATTTGAATTATGATCTTACATTATACAGGATGATGATGATGTGCAATGATATACAATAGTAAATTTATATATTTATCTAACAAAAATTCAGCTGTTGAAACTCACATACTGCATTTTTAATATTAATCTAATTGGGATGTCTAATTGGCATAAAATTTTTTAACACCTTATTACCGTATATATGTATACGTAATATTATGCAATATCTGGATTCTGGACAGCATATTATGTATGGGTTTTAGAACAATAGAAAAATATTCAATTTTCTATGGGATTTTTGAAGATGAATTCCAGTTGGTTTATTATGGTATTTAACCTAAGTGTAAAAAATTAAAAAAATCAATTTGAATCTTCATTGGTTTATTGAAATTACTACTGTTTTATAATTAAATTGCTTAGCCAAATTTAACGGTATACATAGAATATTTTTCTACCACATTGCAATTTTTTTTAACTATATTCACAAGCAAAAAATTAAATTTTATAATTTTTTAATTTTCAAATTAGACTTATGTAATAAATTCACTTTATATCATGAAAACCTAATTGAAAGCACATTTTCTAATTACTGACAAATTTGTAACATAAATTCGATACTCGTAAACTTTTAAACTCATTTTTTTGTTGTGAGTATTACAACTCTATTTTCTATTATGTCAAAACATATTACATAATATACAAATTTTTTTTTTATACAAAAAAAAATATAAAGCTATTCAGGAAAAAAAAGGATAACAAAATTTCAACGCGCAAAAGAAAATAAAAAACTTTTTTACAATTTCAACCGGTTATTGTCGGTCCGTACGGTTGAACAAAATCTCTTTGAAATGATGGATGCAAATGATGTGGTGGAGGTGGTGGCGGATGATGATGTCCATTCATCATTGGTGGATATAAATCAGGTGATCTAGTTTTATGTGTTTGCAATGGTGTTCCTGTAAGAAGTTCTGACATAAAACCAATGTAAGTGATAGCCAAACGTAATGTTTCAATACGAGATAATCGTTTTTCATATGCAAATGTTGGAACCTATATTATTTTTTTTTTTGTGTTAAATTAGAAATCAAAACTTATTGAAAATTGAAATGCATATGAACATTTTTAATTTACCTTTCTTCTTAATTTATCAAATGCTTCATTTAAATTAAACATACGACGACGTTCACGAATATTAGCTGCCCTTCTTTGTGCTAATGATGCAACACGACGTCTTGTTTTCTTTTGGGGATTTGAAGAACTTTTACCATTACCTTGTATTCTTTGATTAACTAAATTAGTCATTGGAGCTCGTGGCCACATAGCTTAATAAAACAATTAAATTAAAATTTGATTTCAAAATTCAAATTAACAAAATTTTATTGTTTAATTATTGTTAATTGAACAGAAAAATAATAATTAAATATAAAAATGAAAATTTCAATAATATTAATTGGTTTACTTAAATTATTTCATATCATGCTATATCGTATATCGTATATTTAATTTACATAAATTAGAAAAGTTTTAAAAAATTGTTTGAGTTATCCTAAATTTATGCAAAATTTTTTGAATATGGTGGTGGATATTTCAAGATAATAAAAAACATTTGAATAATATGGTAGCTTAGCTGTTTTATAACATTTGTTGTTCGAATTTTCATATTTATTTGAATTTTATTAGTTTTAAATATTCCAATTACATATATTAGAATAAAAATATTATATTTAAAATAATAATCAAAAATATTTGAAAATGTATGACATTTTATTCTGACAAAAATATACATTGATACTAATAAGACACCAATAAGACCAATTTGAGTAAAGTGCTTAAAATTAATGAATAAATCTAATGATGTATAAAAAATTTAAATAAAATTTAAATAATATTAAAATTTTATAATATTTCTTCCACGTATAACCACCAAACACGCATAAATACTATACTATAAGTTTTACCTTTTTTGCATTGTTAACAATTGCAATTCTGTGGAAATTTTCCAAAACCCGATAAGTCGATTTTTGGCAAAATCGAGATATTAATGAAAATGGAATGGTAAATATGAGATCTTTGCTGCGACGAAGTCTCATAATTCAATGCAAGAGGTAAAGCGTTCGTTGGTGCATAAAACCATAACCCGGTAAAGTTTAATAAAACCATTTATCAACATCATACCGTTGCCAAAACCCGATATTTATCATATCGTTCTTTCGAATAAACCGTAAAATCATTTAACAGTCTTACACAAGTAGCCAAAACCCGATATGTCCCATACCGTTTTGTTTTAACCAGCAAACAGAATGTTATATGTGGAACGAAACTGTGGCTGGACTGTTATCTCATTACCCTATCATCAACTGTGGCAGGACAGCTAAAAAAAGTTATCTCATTACCCGAAACAATCAAGTATAATGTACTCTGATACATGTGGTGGCCAGAATAGAAATTTAAACATGACGGCCATGTTAATGACGGTAATACAAAAAACGAATGTTGAATACATCGAACAAAAATTCCTTGTACCTGGCCATACACATTTAGAATGCGATTCAGATCTCGCTCGCATTGAAAGGACCAAAAAACCTGTGACGTGAGTATAATGTTATTGTATAATGTTATATGATTGGTGCAATTTTGTACGTACCGTCACAGGTAAAATTCCATTGAATTTGTCTCAAATGACACAAAACGATTTCAAGATATTTTCACATTTTTGTAAAACAATTCTTATAAAAAGAAAAAAGGAAACGATAATCCTGTGAATTGGCTTAAAATTAGGTGGATAAGAATCACCAAAAACTTGGGTAATGTTCATTTTAAATACCACTTGAAAGACGAAACGAACCTTAAAATAATAGATTTCTCAAGGACAATAATCTCATAAATTCAAAAAAAAGGCAGATTTATTGTTAATTTTACATTTAATTGACATTTAATTTCTTGTCACGAATTTTGTAAAAATTTTAAAGCCAATAATGATGTAAGTTACAACTACTTGTCTTAAGAGGATGTTGATTTGCATGCATAGTACACAAATATATTAGAAAAAAGGCTAATAATTGATAGCTTACTATTATTTTAATTAATAATAATACTATTTTATTTTTGAAATATGCATAAATACCTTTTTTGTTTGTTTTTTTATATTTAAAAAAAGTTATGGAAACGAAATTTCTTTTCTTGGTAAAGAATTAAGTAATTTCATATTAACTTTTATAAAGATTATTTTCGCATTTCCTATGATACTGATATGGTAGCTGGTTATTACCCAATTTGATCAAGATATGCAAATATTTTATTTTATTAAAATTTTTGAACTTCATATAAATTTTTGTTTGTTATTTTATGTTTTAAAACAAATATTATGGAAAGAATAAATTTATGTTTTTTAATAAAAAATTTTTCTTGAACAATATCTTTTACAATGGCGAAAAATACAAGAAAGAAATAGTTCTGAATTTGTACAACTTGTTTAAAAACAATTTTTTTTTCTTTTTGTGGTCATTTTTAAAAATATGAAGTATAAAAACACAAACATAACGTTATAAAGACTATTATTTCTTTGAAAATCGTTTTTTGGCAGAGTATACTATTAAAATGGCCCACGTTACTTATAATTTGCCAAAACCCGATTGAGTTTTTCACCCCCCCAATTTTATATTCCCAAAAGGTTGAAGCAACCTGAACACTATTTTAATATATTACTCTAATACTGTATTACTCAAATAAAAAACCCCAGCTTACTAGCTTACTATTTTGTTTGAAAAATAAACACTAACGAAAAAGGGTTTTTTCTTAAAACTTTAAAATTGCGATACTGTAAAATTGCAAAAAAATACTTATCGGGTTTTGGATAATTTCCACAGAATTAATATTAAAATTTCAACTTTCATTAGTAAGATTACAAAAAGTATTTAAATATAATTATTGTATTAAATTCAATATTTCATATATTGGAAATATTAGCCATCAGGACATAAGAATGAAGGTAAAGAAATATTTTCAAATATTAAAAGGATTTATTGTTCAACTCTACGTTGCAAATATTTGATTGTACAAACTTATAGAGCAACACTTTGGATTAACTTTGATACTTTGATAAAATATACTTAATTTAGAGATAAAAAATAATTAAATATCTGTTTCGCAAATATTAATTTCTTTCCTTTTAATCTATCAAGACTTTTACTTTCTATTCACTTAAGTTTAAAAGGAAAATTTTAATTCAAAGTAAAATAAGGTCCTGAATCGTTAATCAAATTTACTATATCAAATCAGTCATTGCCTCAGAATAATTACTTGTTACAGGTTTGAATTCAGAATATCCTGTATTTTTTCAGGCGGCTTTCTTTTTCAATTTAATCAAACTCTTCACTTCAGAAATATAGTTGATCTATAGTTTGCAGCTCAGCATTAAGATTTATGTATATTTCTAATAACATCATGTTTGAAGTTTACCCAATCTATGGTTTTCTTGATTAAAGTTAAAATACTTTGCATATGTATGAAATAATTTTTGATATTTCTTTTAGTTGTTTATGGATTTTCCGATTTATGGTAATTATATATGTAACATGTACCTCTAATATGGGGAAAACAAATTATAAAATTTCATTGGCAGAAATTATAATTATTATTCATTAATTAAAATTTACAATATTGATTTTAGCATAAGTTTATTTATAGGAAAAGAAAAATTTCTTTTATTCAATTAAAATTTTAAAAAATCAATAATCAAAGAATTTGGGTGGTGCGGCTAAGTGATATGTGAACACTTCAACTTTTTAATACAATTAATATTTTATAAATTAAGTATGGTTTAATTTAACAAAAGAATGAAAAATTAAATTTGCACAAGAACACTTTTTTGATTATTTGCAGCCGATTTTTGACGTTCACATGATTTTCATAATTTTAATTAAATATTTGAATTATTTTTAAAGTTATACTTGTATAATCTTATTAAATACCAAAAGGTTTTTAAAACCACTATTGACTTGAACAATATTTTGTGTATATTTGTTAAACATCTTAATTACGAAAAATTTTTTTTACTTACATAAATCTGGGCAACCATAACCAGATATTAAATCTGAATATGGAACAATTGGAGGTGGAGCATCTTGACTCCATATTGGTGCAAATGATGGAACTTCTGGTAAATATCCTTGTTCAGAATGCTAAAAATTCAAAAAAGAAAATTTATGAACACTTTTGTTTTTATTTTTTTGTTTTTGTTTTAATTCATAAACTTTTTTATTCTAATCGATTTGGTTTTAATAAATTTATTTTTCTCTTATTTGATTGAACATATTCACAATCTGAGAAATATCGTAAAAATAACTAATTTACGTACACCAGTGTTACCGTTTTCCCAATTTTCTACTGGTGGAGGAAACATTGACATTATATTCTTTCAAACCAATTTATAATTTAATTTTGTTTTTCTTTTTTTTTATTTCAATTTAATATAGAAATTATTGCAATTCACTATTAAAGAATTGGACTGTGATTTAATTTTCACTTAATTATGCAATATTTTAAAAATTTTGAATTTAAAAGGAAGACTTTCCAATTTGGAAGACAAATGATTACTAAATATTTCTAGATTTTCTTTACCATTATTTTCTCTTAATATAGCTATATGGAGCTTCCTGTTTTATTTATTTGTTACAATAAAATATAAAAAAAAATGAAAAAAAAGGATTCTCTGCACTTGTTATCTACCATTGAATATCTCATAATTTAAGGATAAACATAATATATATGAAAATTGAATATCAAAGATGCTTATATACATTTGTACATACACTATATATGTATGTATGGTTGAACGTATATACTGAAATAAAAAGGATATTATTAAAAAGGGGGTGAAATTTTTTCTTTAAATATTTTTCCCTATTATACCATATTCTTTGTTTCTGATTGGTTCAATCTGTTCTATTTTTGCCTGCCTTGCGTGTGGTTTTTACTCATATTATAAAAGTATACATACAAGTGCAATATATACATTTATATTTATGTATATATTCAAGTAGTATGTGTTCAAAAGGTATTTTTTCTTTTGGAAAATAAATGGAAAACTGGAAAAAACATTTAAACAATATGGCAGCTATTGTTTTTTCATAGATAAATTTATGTTATATTATAATATACATATGTACATACATACAGACACAATATGTTTTATGTTATTTATGTATTATATTTAAAAAGGATATTATGTATAACAAAAAAATGCTGCAGGATAATTAAAATTATTATTTAATTATGTTTGAATACTATACTGTCTTATTAATTAATTGTTTTTTTTTTGAAAAACTAAAAATATTCAATATTGAAATCAAATGCGACACAAAAAAATATATATATTGTGTCAAATCCCATGTAAAATTATTAGACCCGTGAAGCGTTATCCAACCGTTCGTCGCTCTATCCAGTCATACGATAATTCAAAAACGAATAAAACAACGCCACCAAGCTTTCACAAATCGTTTCTTTTATTCCATATACGGCCAATATTGTAATTGGACCAATTCGGACAACAGATTCGGATATCTGTCATACAAATCAAAAATATTATTTTAAATATTTAAAAAATTATTAAAAATATATTAATATGAAATTTTCTAAAACGTATCTGCAATAAATTTTACGTGTATTTTGAATATTTTAATGGAATGATTGCATTATTTCGGGTAGGTTCCTATAACCTTAAAAGTTAATATCAAAATATTTAAAAAAATAATAAAACTAGCTATATAAAATTTTCAGTCGTGTGTCCAATTATAGCTCAGATATATCCGTGAAATTTTTATGGAATATTTTGAATGATAATTCTAAGTATTTCAAAAACAAGTTAACAACCAACTCATATTGTCAAGGTGGCAGAGTATAATTCAGTCGGTAACAATTGCAATTGTGTTTATTATCAATTGATTTTTGTCTATATTATTTCTCATACTTTGTGTGATTGCCTTTTATCGGCGATTTGATAAACTTACTTCATTTAATCTTACTTCCCATTAACACTCAATTATCAAATTTCATTTACATAGATCTAAAATATTGAAAATCAACTCCTTATTACACTTCAAATTTTAAAAATTTTAAATATTTTAAAAATCTGTATACACACATAAGTATGCATACATGCAATACTCACCCCATAAAATAAAATTTTAAAATTTTAAAATTACAAATATTTTTAATTTCCTTGTTTTAAATCACGCATGATTGAACTGCCACAGTAGGGTATCATAAAACTTTAATTGATCTGGAATTAAAAATCAAAATAAACCACTTTAAAAATTTTTATATATAATTAAAGGATAATTGAAATTTACCCACAAAATTATTGAAAATCTTTAAAATCATTTAAAATTTATGATTAAAAAAAAATAATACAAAAGTATTAAACACAGGTTAAATGTGTGTATAGGTGATCGAATATTAAAACAACTACAACAAACACTGACTTATTTAAATGCAAAGTTTAAACTTGTTATCATGATTATCCTTTTTCAAAACAATTATACAAAAGGAGACCAATAAAAATAACAACACAATGACAACAAACATTATGTTTATAATTGAACAGTTTCATAAATAACAGCAACTGTGTAGTGTGTACTTAAAATAATCTTAAAAATGAAATTTTTAAGGGTGTTTAAACACCCTTATTTCTCGTCACATTTTCATCCCTCTCCCCTCAATTTTTAATAAAATAAATTTTATTAATAAGAATATTAAAGTGATATATAAAAGTTATAATAAGGCAATTTGTAATTTTTGTTTTTCCAAAAAATGTTGTAAGGTAAAGTATAAAATAGTATGGGTTAAAGTAAGAGTAAAATTTAATAAAAAATTATTAAAGTCAAATTTGTTTCCTATAATTTTGTTATTTTTTTTTTGCAATTGATGTACGAGATATTAAGTTTTCAAATATGACATATTTTGAACAATAGAAAAAAGAAGGCTAATATTGGAAACAATTGTATAATAATTTTACGGTAGAAATAACAGTGATTGAAAGAATCATATTTTTTAAATCGGATTTTGTACAAAGGAATTAATTTTTCAATATCAATGGTGTAAACTCGTCAAAAATTCTGTACAAACATTAGAAATATTTCAAGAAAATTCTATTCAGTTGAGTAGAACTTATTCATTATTCAGTTAAGAGTGAATATTAATAAATAAAAGATCAGAAGTTCATGCAATTCAAATTTTCTCATATATAGTCTACAATTAATTAACAATTTGCCATCCAGCTTTTATAATAATCTATGGCTCTACTTTAAACTCTGTATACTTATACTGGAAAATATTGGAAAATTTTCGAAGGTGGCCCTGTTTTGACAATGTTTACTTTGCATATATAATAGAATCGGCACTGCTTCAAAGCCGACAATATTAAGCGAAAAAAATATAAATTACTAATAAAATTCAGCTATTATGGCTGAGAAAGTGATAAGATATACAAGAAAGCAATAAAACTATACAATTCGGAAATTTTTCATGAAATTAAAGTTGAAAACAAAAATTTTAAAATATTATATAAAATTTAGAAAAGACCTACGTATGTTGGTTAATTATAATTTGAGTAACGTTGATTAAAATCTGAAATTAAAAATTATATGATAGATTAAATAATAATAGATTATGTCTAACTGTAAGTATACAAATACATATCTATGTATGTTTGTGTGCATCATTTATGTATTCATAAAATTCCGTAAATAACAAAGTTCATAAGCACTTACGTTTCCACTATTCGAAATAATTATTAACTATGAACAAATACACATATTAACTATTTATGATTAACGTTATTATGATATTAAAAATTTTTCATACCCTACACCTGACATTGAAAGGTTTATTATAGCATTTGCAATATTGAATTTGTAATCACATGAACGAATCGTCTGCATTATGATCTTGTATATAGATGTTCTTGTTTGCGTATAAAGTTATGCGTTAATTTAAACATGTTAAGTCGCACGACTGCTCAAAAACAAAACTGGAATGGCTTGGCAGTTTTCATTAGTTGCAATATAACTCTATAAATATCAATTTTAAATGTTTTAAAAAAAAATTGGGGTAACTGGAAGAAATTTGGTAAGAAAAAGTTGATTCATAGTTCACAAACACCTAAATTTCAGTTTAGGTTTTGTTTTTATATTCAAATATTCATGGTGTAGGGTATAATGTTTTTACTTGTTTATTTACGTACGTAATTGCAAACATAACATACGAGGGTCACTATTTATATTTCGGGTCTAGCAATAAAAAACAAACATTTATCATTGGAAATGGTTTTATTGTTTTTCAAAATATTCCCCATGAAGATCAATACACTTTTGCATGCGCTGAAACCAATTTTCGTAGCACTTTTTCCACTCCGATTGAGACACCTCCAAAACATGGTTTTTGAACGCATCGACTGCTTCTTCAGGTGTTGAAAATCGTTGTCCACGCATTTTTTTTTTGATGTGAGGGAATAAGAAGAAGTCATTGGGTGCTAAATCAGGACTGTACGGCGGATGACCCATCAATTCGACATTTTGAGTGCTCAAATAGTCCATTGTTTCAGCTGATTTGTGAGAGCTTGCATTGTCATGATGAAGAATGATTCGCCGGCGCTTGTTTGTTTTCCTTATTTCTTATAAAAAATTTGATTCCGTAAACTATAAGATGAAATTCAATGTAGTCTGCTCGTAAACAGAAATATTTTTTTTTTTCATTTGTGATTTAATATTGTCATAAAATTTTAAAATATTAGAAATTTTTACTTGAATATTTTATTACATGATGATGTAATTAGCGGTATAATAGAAATTTTATCAGTAAAATGCGATCGTCATTTAAAGCAAGCTCAGGATATTGCTTTTTGTTTATTGCTCTTTCAACGAAACAATGAAGTTTTCTCACGTAAAACCAAAATGAATTTCGAGATCAAATTAATAAAATTAAGTTCCTTTTTAGGAACTTGAAATCGAGCTTTAAACACAAAATGCCAAATTAATAATTAGTATGCATTTAATATATAATTAATAGTCAGAAAATAACAAGAATATAAATTACAATATTTTAAGAAGTTTTTACTAAATTTTTTTACAATAGTCAAATTTCTCAGCTAAAAAAATGGCTGAATTTGGATTTACAATACGTACGCCTTTAAGATTTTTATAATCTATATAGGTTCTGAATTTAAATAATGAAATAATTACGGTTTTAATATTGCCAATGGTGTACTATAATAAAGCAGGTCCTATAGACACCATTGTAATTCTGTGTCTACTTTTCTATTATCTAAAAATCAAATCTAATAGAAATAACTTTAAAAAATTAAAAACTCAATTGATTTCAAGTTGTCTATGGTTTTACTTTTTAAACCGTGCATATAGTACAGGCTCTACTTACAGACTTAAAAAGTGAAACATATCGAGAATTGATAACATATTTTTGATTACGTTTCAGCAATAATTATTTATTAATATCACGATTTTAAATAAAAATAAAAGTTCCAGGAACTAAACATGGGCCCAGGCTGCGTAAACCTTAGTTAATTCCTGTTTATATAAATATAAACAATTAAGAGGTTCTGGAAAAATTTTCTGTAATTAAATTATTCAAAAATCTGTTTAATTAAATTTTAAATGTCATAAACTATAGTCGAATTTCTAGCCCGTTGGAATTCAGAATGTAAAATATTTAATTTTCTCTTCATCTAATTAACGTAAACTTTACTGAATATTAGGCATTCATCATCGTCAGGAAAGGCTTAAACCTAATTTTTCTTTAAATTAAATTTAGATTAAATCAGAACAAATCAAGAGAAATGAACAATTGCAATATTTGCAATAATTGACTCAATATAGTATGTACACATAACTTCAATATGAATAAATAATTACTATATATAAAAATATGCATGCACATAATGTAATAATTTTAAATGCTTAAAAAAATATTTACATAAATTATAATATTTCAAATTCTAATTTCTAATCTTATGAATTATTTATTTTGACTTGACTATAAAAGAACTAACACAATATCGTAGCCATTTTATAGAAAACACCTATTGAGTATAATTGAACGTTTTAAAAATAATTCCGTTTCTATATAGCAAAATATTTATTTCAAATTATAATTATCTTACTAATTATACAAAATACTAAATGCATTTATATTATAAGTTTTATTTTTGAGCAAATATTTTGGAATTACCTATACTTGTATGTTCTAACACTATACAATTTGGCTTCAAAAATGCTTTGAATTATACGCTAAAATGCTAGTACGGTAAGCGCCGTACACTTTCCAACTGTTACTGCTAATTTGTGTATTATAACACTGCATTGCTGCAGTCGTGAAATTATTCAAACTTTTTTCTAAAAAGTCTGTTTTCATATTATTATGCTTATTTATTAGATTTTAACTAAAGTTAAAAGAAATCAGATTAAAATTAAATGATATACATATAAATTTTAATATTTCAAATTATGCTCGATAGAAGATACATAAATGCGATTCTCTATAGCTTAATCTAAAAAACTTGAAAACTTGATTAATCAAATATTATAAACATAAAATATAAAATTGCATAGAATTTCGAATTTTAATGAGCTTAAAATGTAGATCATTTTATTATATGCTATTCACACCTTTTTAATATTGTGTTCTTATCAATATTTATTATTGATAAATTGCCGATTTAATAAAAAAATTTTGAAAAATCAACTAATTATCGCTCATTGTTAAGAGAAATGAAAAAAAAATAAAAGAGAACTAGAAAAACCAATACAAACAATAAAAGTATGAAATTATATTTTTATGTACACACATAATATGCATGTATTAAAAAAAGAACTGTATAATAGCTTGAAATTTGAAAATTTAGGGAGGGTATTATAAGCTCTGTTTAACATAAATTTGAATTACTTATTTATATGAATATTTTGCGGTTTTATAATAAGTAATATTTAATAAGTAAAGCATACATGTAGGTGCAAGTATGTAGTTCAGCAAACAGTTGATTATATTATTATATTGATGCACATTTCGAATTACATTGAGAAGAATTTCAATGGGGGTTTTCTATATGCTTTATAATTTCAATTGTCAAGTTAGAAATCTGAATAATTATTGAATTTATTGAGTATCGTAATTAATTATTAAAAAATATTAATTTCCTAATTTAAGAATTATAATGTATAATTAAAAATAAAATATAAATTTAATGTTCAATTCAAGTCTTCAACTAAAACTACAATTTACAACTCATTCTGAAAAAAATTTACTATGTTCTTTATGCTAGGCATAATTATGCATTTTTGTTATGTTAAAAACGATACTCGATTGCTCACAAATTAAATTCATTTATTCTAGCTTATATTTAAGGCAAACGTAGAGTAGCAAATTAACACAACTTTATCGATTTTTTGCAAGAAAATATAAGAAAAGAGCACAAAACGGGTAATTATATAACTTCTATATGCTTCCATATTAAAGATTACATTTTGCAAAAATTTAATTCTTACAGAATGAATTTCTTGTATATCTTTGAGTTGAATACAAGATAAAATATATGTACATAAGTAGCTAGTCAATTTTTTCTATCTAGTTTTCTATTAATTTAATTCTTACGTCTGTGAATTCAATTTAAAATAGCAACATATTCTACAACATATAGTGTGAAACTAAAAACAAAAATGAAAACGAAATAAAAAAAAAAATGAGGAAAAAAAAATTTAATATTTTCATTCATTAAATATTTATTTTTACACACGCTGAATTTTAGTTTGTTTTAGAATTTCAAGCTTTAAAGGTGAATTTAAAATTATTTAATATCCTCGCTTGTTCGCTTCATTTCTGGTTCAGTTAAACTCAAATTAATTAATAAAATAAATAATAAGAAAAAAAATATTAAAGTGATTTTGTTATATTCGAAATTGTAATAAAGAAAATATTATTTTGTTTCTTATTTAAAAATTAACAAGAAAATAAAATAATTATAAATTGTAGTGCTTTACTGTCTTCTCCACACACAATTTTACAATTTTAAAAATATTTAAGAGAAGAAGCTAAAATACAAGTGATATAAGGAAAAGAGGTAAAATAAGTGTGTATGTTTTTATGTTTGTATGTATGAATTTTTTCTCTTTTACATTTTATCACTTTTTTGTTTTGCAAAAAAACATTAATCTTTGATCAGTCATTATCATACAAATTTGCATTCACGCGACATCTACACGACAAAAAAAAATTATTATGTTTTGTTATTCACGTGCTGATCATATTATCATCAGTGTGGTACTTACATACAACATATATAGTTGTGTTATATTCAGAAATTTTATTTTTAACATATTTTCAACGTATGTACATATTATTCGTTTAAAGATGCGGTTGTATTTGTAGGTTTATTAAATTTTTATGTAGCTATAATAATATAATAGCTCGTAACAATGAATAAATGTATAGTTACATATGTATGTACGCAAATAAAATGTAATAATACAGAAATATGTAGATCAAGTGTATAATTATGATTTATCAGATTTTATTATATGCAGTACACGAGACGATAAAAAAAACTTATGTAAATTTATGTATACACATGTATGTATATGTATGTGTACGTTTTGAATTTCGACCATTATATTATCATATTAATAAATAAAATTAAATGTACATTGTATGTAAGTATATACAATTGAATTGAAACTGCAAATTTAAACCCATATGGTAACTTTACAAATAAAATACTTGGAATTAGAGCATTATTATATTAATGTACTTATATATATGCGTATGCACATAAATATATTCGTATGTAAATAGTAAACTTTAAATTTTTTACATCTTTTAAAATTTGGTTTGAATATTTAACTAAAATATAACAATAATTTTAATTTATGTATTCCTAAAAAGATTAGTACTCGTATATACTTAAGTATAACAAGAAATCAATTGAAAAACGAAAAAAAAAAAATTAAAATGCAATGTAGGTAAATAAGTGAATTAGTCAAACTTATTAAGAAAAAAAATTTAAATAAATTGATGAAAGACGTGCTTTCATTTGTAATTGTAATGAAGTTTCTGTTTTTAGTTGATTTATTTGAATATGTATAACAATTAATAAATTATAATAAATTGTTTGTATATAGAATGAATAAAGAATATTTTCAGAATTTCATACACTCTTTTCAAATTGCTTTTTTTACACTAATTTTGTGTTAAATAATTTTTAGCATTTTAAAAATTTTAATGGTAAAATATAGTTATTAAGCGAGAAGCGCGATATTTGATATTTTAACTAAATCACATTTGTTAGAACTATTCGAAATGGAGTTACAAGTAAAATATAAAGCTATATTTATAGAGCAGAGTATATCTTTTTTTCTATTGGAAAATTGTAGTTTGAAAAGAGAAAAAATTTGGGAAATTTATAAGCTTTAAGTATATAACATATTTGTACTCTATAAACTTCTTTAATCATTAATCAATAAATCGAGAGTATCTATTAGCATACATATATGCAACTGTTACATAAAATAATTGAAATAGCGAATAAATCTCAAATTAAAATAAAGGTTAGGTAAAATTATATTACAGTTTTTGATTTTTTCTAATTTCTATTTATGTATTAATTCAATAAAAGTGATAAAAAGGGATAATAAATAAACAGTTGTAGTGTAGCTACATATATAGTATATATACATATGGATATGTATATGTATATGTATACGTATGTATATACATGTTCGTGAAAAATGTTCCATCAATTGTAATATTAATTTTTGGTCACAAGTGCCTATAAGCAAAAGAAAGCTTTAAGAAGGACCGTTCATAAGATCTCTAAAAATGAAAAGCCGTCATTATTATTAATGTACATATACGTACATACATATAATAAAATTTTATAATTTAAATAAATTATATATAATTTAATTTTTCCTTTTGTTTATTTCTATATGTTTGTATATGACAATAAAAAATGTGTAGCAAATTAACACTTCCCAAATACATATTTAAAAATAAAATTTGATCGACACTTTAAAATTCGCAAATGTTGTACGTATCTAGCCATACATCTAGATTTCAGAAACGATTTATAGATTTCAGAAACGATGATATGCATGAAGAGTATCATTGTACGTACAATTATACATAACATAATATTATGTATACATTATATACTCTTAATATTATATCAATTTCTAAATGAAAGCAAAACAAAATATTTGTATACGCAGTTGAAATTATATGTATTAGTCTATACTATACCTACATATTTGGAAGATTAATATTTTAAGTTATAGCGGAACCGGTACCATTTATTTAATGAATTTTTATTTTTTGCTGAAATATATACTGTACATATATGTATGAAAATACGGTAAAACTTTTTTATAATTAAAAAAAAAAAATTATTTAGTTTCTTAATTAACTTGAATCGGGTTAATTTTTAAAATTTGTCTAAATAATATTTAAGTTGAGAGTGCTACAATACTTGAATGAGAGTACTACGTGTCGACGAACTACAATACTTGGCTTATAATTTACTTATAATGACTATTAATTAAATCATTTCAATAATAGTAATTAATAGTAATATAATTACTTTAATAGTATTTAACTATTTATTAATTAATTTAATTATTCAATATCTAGAATATTAGTATCTAATTACGAGTATAGCTAATTTGAAAATTGTGTTATCGAACAATTTATAAATCATACATGTATGTGCATACATTTAATAATAATATCAATAATAATACACTTAACTAAATAATATTTCAACAAAAATATTGAGCAGACAGGAGTTCAAAAATAATTTTTAAAATTTGTATATATTTGTTATATAACACATTTAAATTTACATATATAATACTACTAATTGTACATAATTTTATTTGAAATTGAGAAAATAATAATATACGTAGTGTATTGCAAAGGAATTCGCATATTTCTCCATTAGCCTTAAGCATTCATTTAAATTTGCAAATTTCGAAAAATTATTTATTGGTTTTTCCATTTATGTTTGTGCACACATGGCTTAGCATAGACTCATTCATTCAAGTTTTATCTTTTCGTTCAGTTATTTTAAGAAAGTAGAAAATTAAAAATATATGGAAAAAACGAAAACCAGTTTTAAATTAATTGTTTTTTTTTTTTTTAATTTTTGTTTTTGTTTTAAACATATTTTACTTTAGAATCATTCGAAGAGTTGCATCATAAGTAAATTTCAGCTGATTTAAGTAAAATAGTTGGTAAACAAAAACTTTTACTTTCCTTGAAAAAAAATTGTTTTTTTTTTTCTTTTGTTACTAGTTACGAGTATTTTGCACTATTTATGTGTTTTTGTTTATTTTTAATAATTTCATATTGAAGTATCCGAGTACTCAAGTATCCGAATGCATGTAATGTAATTGTATGTATTATAAGTATATTAATATTGCAAAAAATTAGGGTGACCATCCGGTTCTCTTGCGTGATAAATATTTTATTAATTTATCCTTTATTTTAGATTGCATTGCCGTTTATGTCCAAAATTTAGATGTTTATGTTTACACATATTGTATGAGTATATAGGAAGATTAAAGAGTGAATTATGAAAAAAATAAGGATACGTTCTTCTTTGATGATATTTGATATCGAGTGGACGATAATAACAAAAGATTTTTCAAATAAATTTCCGAAATAACCTGAAGTGCTGAAAGATATACATACATACTAACATATGTATATTGTTATGACAATTATTCTGTAATTGAATAAGGTTATTATGCAACTATATTAATTACAAATTGGTCGTTAACCCACACATAAGAAAGAAATAATTTTTTGTTTTAAATTTAATGCGGCAAAAAGAACAAAATATTTTTAATAATTAATATTATTATTAATTGGTGTGTACTTGAAAAAAATGTAAAATACAACGCAAACATCTTATTTAATACAATTTTTAAATTAACTTGAATTAATAACTTGAATTTTAAATGACTAAGTACCTATATATCACACATATGCACTTACTTAAATATACTTGTAAATCATATTATGTAATTTCACCGCTTTTTTAAAGAATTACTTTAATTCTAACTTTATAATTTTCTTTTTTATATTTTTTTTTAATTCAATTTTATATTCTTGAAATTTCCTAAAGTTTGGCGGGAAACTTAAAATATATATAACTCATTAATTCAAGAAAATGTGATATAAAACTAAAAAAAATACTATCAGTCTGATGTGGTGGTTCCAATCAAATATTAATTTCTTATTTATTTATTCAATTATTGAATAAATAAATGAAAATTCAAATTGAATTAATTAAAGAATTGAAAATGAGCTTTTGTACGTTTTATATTTCACTTCAGTGTCACTATACATATTTCCTATTTCATTTCTCTTATGCATACGTACAAACATTATACATAGTATTCTAGCTCGTCTACAATTTTGTGGCTTACATAGGTCAAATAAACAAAAAAACGCTCCTGACTTGTGTCAGATAAAAGAGCATATTGGATAATTGGAGTATGTTTATATGTATGTATAACGGTGAACAATGGAAGTGTATAGAAGCCCGTAATAGTTCTTAAATTTATTGAAATTAATATATTTATAAAAAATTTATTATTTTTTAATTTATTTATTTTCTTTTCTCGTTTATTTTAAAATTTATGTCAACTGTAATCGAAGCTTGTATATGCAGTATATAGTATGTTATTAAATTGTATATTCTAACTCAAAAGTCTTAGAATGAGAATCAGTATGTTATATGTGTCTTTATAGGCATTAAATAAATAAATAAACTATTTATACTTATGTACACATTGTGTATATACACACATTGTACATAAGTATAATTGAAATTCTAAATATTTGCGTACACACATATACTCGTACATATTATATTAAAGAATTCAAAAATATTAAATTCAATTCTTATTATCAAAATATTATTTCTGGATAAGAAATTTTCTATCGAAGGCATTATTAATTATACAAATTAACTTAATAATTAATAAATAATAGTGTGCTAAAATAACTTTATTAAATTGATAAGAGAAACACTTTTATGAGGGTCTTTATATTTTTATTGTATTGAAAATAGAAAACATAAACTTAAGTACAACTTATTTTCATTAAAAATATTAAATGATTCAGATTTAAATTATGATAAGAGTAAAAAATATAAAAACATAATTATAGTGCATAAAATTTTATACATTATATGTACAAACATATATACTTGAACATTTAGGTATAATTCTTTGAATGACAAATTTACTTGCATATTTATTCAAATATCAGTTATTCTGAGTACTAAGTATAGTTTAACAAAGAAAAAATAAATATATGCAATTCTTTTGTGTTTCTTTATGTTTCTACTAATCTACATAGTTGTATTGATAAAAAAGCTATATTTATATAATGTATAAAGAATTATTTTACATACATTATGTAAAAAATATAAATAAAATGTGAAATGTAATATTAGAAAGAATTTTTTTTTTTTTGATTAAATCTTTGGTGTGACAAACAAAGTAGTTTCAAGTATTTGAATTATAATTCCTATTTGCTTTTTTTCTGTTCTCTCACTAAAAGTGAACTATTGCATTTCATTGTTATTTTATATAAAATATGACAATATAAATTCGAGGACACACACTATATTATATTGGAGTTTGTAGTTGGGCTTCTTACAAGAGAAAATAATTTTATTCATCTTGTTATATTATATATAGAATAATGTTATATTTTAAACAGATGTTATCGAGTCTATTCACTTTTTGCATAAATGGGTTATTTATTTACCAATCTATTTGACATTGTGATAACAAGTATACTGATTTTCGTAAGAATCTTATAATTATGTGATTGCAAATATCTCGAACAAAACAAAATTTTCAAAATAATATCAAAAAAAATCCGTGGCATGATGATCACTTCTTCTTTAATTCAAATCCAATTTTATTTAAAAATTGATTTCAATAACTCTTTTAGGATCAATATATTTGTACCTTCTATAAATAATTTTTCGGTTTTTTATTAAGAAAAAATTAACCTCTCGAACATTAATATTTCCAATTAGAATGCAATAATACAGTTTAAACCATGAAAATATTCATAAGTAGTATTGCAATGTACATTTGTAAATGTAAATGCTACTGTCGCATATTTACGTGATAATGATATACAAACTTTAAAAACCATTTTAATCATAGAGTTAATACCATAACTGCTCCAATGAACTGATATTCATATAATTTACCGCAATATATAGAGTGAAATTAATGCAAATTAAAAGCATTTTGTTATAATTTGTGTTCAATGCAAAAATACTGAGAATATTTTTCTTTATTTGAATATGAATATTTCCTAATTAAAATAATATTAGAAAAAAATTTCATTTTCTAATATATTACTTTGAAAAGATTTTATTGACATTTTAATATAAAAAACACTATTGTCCTTAATTTGTAATTACCACAATATTGTGACTGTATGCATAAATAGTTTTCAATGAAAAATTTATTTATAATTTGAATAGTTTAATAATCCACATAACCAGAAATAAAATCACATTTAAATAAAATAGTACTAGTACAGTACAGTATTAGTACTACTGTTAATAAAAAATAAATTCTTGTACATAGGAAATTCGATTTCTTGCGAAAATCAGTGCATATATTAATAATACAAAATTTCGATTAACTTAAATTGCTCTTAGGTGATTTAAAAAGATTTCATTTGGAATATTAACTGCGTACCACAAAAAAATTTAATTCCAGCCAGGATTTAGTATATTACTTCAACTTTTGAGTTCACCACATAATGTATTAATCAATATAAAATAATAGGTTTTAACTAGCACATATATCATCTGTATTAAGCACAGTACACAAGTATAGTATTATGTAAATATATGAATCCTGGAAACTAAAAATGTTGAAAATTCAAAAATGCATTGATAGGGTCATTATTCACGATTCAGTATATAATAAATTTGTTTTATCTTAATTGTATATCAGAAAAGTTTTAATGCATTTTTAAACTGATCAGGTATTATTAAAAAAAAATTTTCAAAAGTTGCTCTCCTAAATTTATGCAATTTTATTTTATAGTTTAATATAATAAGGTACTAAAAATTTCAATATTTTTTTTACGGTATGCAAAATGTTTCTTTTTCAATTGTTTTATACACAGCAATATTTCTAGTTATAATTAGTTAATTTTTCGTAATAATCAAATAAAATTTAAAAATTATTATCTTTTTAATTGTAATTAATAATTTACCTATTTAGAAAGCTTATTTTGTAAATATTATGCTTAATTTATTTTTCTTTGATTATTTTAGATTAATTGCAATGAATTCAAATGAAATTTGTGATACAGAAGTATTACCATGGCTAGGCAAAACTTATCTGGAGAAAATTTTAAGCGCTCATGAAAATCAACCAGCATCAGTAATTAGTTTTTCAAAAAAAATAGGAACCGATAAATGTGAAAATTTTGCTAGTGTAATCAATTTAATAAATGCTGAGTATACTACTGAAAATTCTAAAGAAATAAAAAAAATTTCATTAATTACAAAAACTAAGACATCTGACGAGCTTGTAGCAGAAATTGTAGAAAATCTTAATGTCTTCGAAAGGGAAACCCATGTTTATGTGGTTTTATTAAAAGAATTCGAGGAAATGCTTAACAGTGTTGGTATTTCAACAACTTTCGCTCCAAGGTAATTATTTGATATAAGTACAGAAAATTAAGTTTTTTTTCATTTGAACATAAATAGGATTATGATATAAAAAAATAAGTGGAAGCATTTCCAAGTATTTAATTTAATTAAAATGACCAATGTTAAATTTCAGGTACATTTATGTAGATGAGGGGATAATTGTAATGGAAAATCTTAAGGAAAAAGGTTATGCTCTTCAAGATATTAAAAGTGGACTTAATTTTCAACAATGTTTGACTTTAATTAATAAATTAGCTCAATTTCATGCTTGCAGTATGGTACTTTATGCAAAGGTAAATATAATATTAAAAAATAAAGAATTGTATCATTTATAGGTATTGTAATATCTAAGGTTACCAAGTTCAAATTGGCAAGAAAAAAAAACGTTTGGTAGTTGATAATGTTTTAGAGAACTAGTTCAGACAATTTAAATTGTTAAATCGAAACCCTTTTTACGTCTTAGTCCTTACTTCCAAACAGATTCATTCTTTAGTAATTCAGCATTCATTACTTTAGTAATTGCAAGAATTACTTTCTTAATAAATAGTTCAGCTTATACATAATAAATTATAACTTCTAACTACTTAGTTCTATATTAATTCTTTATCAGTGCTAATGTAAATGCTGGATGCAATTGTCAAAAAAAAAAAATTGGCTCTTTGTAAATTAAAATACGCAATCGCAATTACCGCATGGAAACCGCAACAGATATAAAATTTCACTTCCAAGTATTTTTTGTCATTTTCTGAAAAAATTATATTAAAGTTTGAAAGTTTTAAGATGAGTTGTCAAATAATGTTTAAAATAAATGCGAATGTTAAAACATTCTTACATTGACAATTTAACCTTCAAATTCGCTTCATAACTTTACGCTGTACTATTTAATCAATTAATGAATTATAAACTATTATAATTTGTTTATGTTGACAACTATGATGTTAAGTACTCGTACAATGTTACGAACGTACAATTCTCCGGTACTGTTTACATACACAACAAACTTCAAAAATAATCTGTTTTTAATATGTTAAGACTATTTGATATCGCACTAGTGTTGTGAGAAAATATATAAGATTTTTTAAAAGTGAAATCGCGACAATTAATTTTTTATAGGAGTTTTAGGGGGAACATCAGACTTTGTCGATTAAATTTTAGAATTTGTCATTTATATAAAAATCCACATTAAATTTAGACACAAGATCATTAATATTTTTTATCGTACGCATAAGTGGAAACTCGTGACTCTTAGATATTTTCCAAATAAAAAAATATTGACACAACTAGGAAATGTCAACCCATAAGTTTGGATATTAAAAAAAATTACATAAATTTCCACTTCCCAGTAAACAATAAACATATCAAAGTTGTTTGGGTTTAAAAGTTCACTAAAAAAAAGCTTGTTTTACTTTCGTAGATTTTCAAAACAAAATATTGGAAAATAATATTAAGAATATGAATAAACACTATTTTTTTTAACTTTTTTGTGTTAAGCAAATAGTGATATATGAAATGATTCTTTGATTATATTTTAATTGAATATTCTCGAAAACTCTAGTAAAATTATATGTAAACCCGGAAGTACACATAATTTGTAAATGATATTAGCTATTCAGTATTGGATAATTAACCGAAATAAACGTCAGTTTAATGAAATAATTCGTTAAAGTAGGGCTGGCTACTAAAATTAAATTATAAAAACATAGTGTTACCATAATCATTTTATTCATTTAATTTTTCATAATATTTTAACCTCCATAAGCGAATTCCGTAGTATTTAGATCATAATTAATGTAAGTTAATTTTCTGTTTGAAACGTAATATATGTATCTATATATTTGAAGATTCTAATCAAAATGCAAAAATGAAAGAAATGTTAATAATCACCAAATATTTGAGAAATTACATTATGTATTATTATAATATATTTTGGCCTCCAATTTCATTTAATGCTAACAAAATTTTATTACATATATAACATATCATATAACATTATATTATATACACATTTATTGTATCGTGAATCTCACATTATTTGAATCTCGAACAGATTAAATTATGTAATCTCTTACTAAATACACCTACATTTTATACTTACGTAAAACGATAAAATAAAATCTGTAAAATCGTCAGTTTTTGGGGAATAATATGAAATATGGCTTAATTTCAACACATTTGAGTACTTCCCCAAGTTTTTATGGGAAATTTTAAATTTGAAGACATAGATACATATGTATGTATGTATCTATTTATGTACACATTTTTAAAATAATGTTTTGTTTTGCCAATATTATGAAAATTTTATCAGCAGAATTAGCCACAAATAATCAATCAGAATTGCCTCATATAAAAATTTTTCTTATTGTATAAATGTATACATATATTGTGCTCTTTCATAAAAATGTTTCGTCAGCTTTTAACTTATTAACCTTCGTTTAATATTTTGCTCTTGCGTGTCCATATTGGAAAGCTTTTTTTTATAAGGTTGTTTTCTCTCTGATTCTGTACAATTGAAAAAGACCACGTCAGTACAATTCCCGGTATGTGTAATTTGTGTGCGATATATATACGTAGAAAACTTTTCTCACTATTCAGTTTAATTTGAGAAAGCAAAGAAAAAAGATTAAAAAGAAATTTAGAATAAAGTGAATAAAGTGTGAAAATTTTTTTATATTAAAAGAATTTTATAGAACATTCTACTCAAAACCTGTTAATAAATCATAAGGATATTAATTAAAAATAATAGTAAAATAGCAAATTTAAAATGAAGTTACACATATTACTAGCAGTGGTGGCTTTTGTTGGCCTCTCCTTAGGAGAAGAAAAATCAGAAAAAGACAAAGATTTAGGAACAGTTATTGGAATTGATTTAGGTACAACGTATTCATGTGTTGGCGTTTATAAAAATGGCCGCGTTGAAATTATCGCAAATGACCAAGGTAATCGTATTACTCCATCCTATGTTGCATTTACTGCCGAAGGTGAACGTTTGATTGGTGATGCAGCTAAAAATCAGTTGACTACAAATCCAGAAAATACAGTTTTTGATGCTAAACGTTTAATTGGGCGTGAATGGTCTGATTCAACTGTTCAACATGATATCAAATTCTTCCCATTCAAAGTTATTGAAAAAAATTCCAAACCACATATTAAAGTGGCTACTTCCCAAGGAGAAAAGATATTTGCTCCAGAAGAAATTTCCGCTATGGTACTAGGGAAAATGAAAGAAACAGCTGAAGCTTATTTGGGTAAGAAAGTTACAAATGCTGTAGTTACCGTACCTGCTTACTTCAACGATGCTCAACGTCAAGCTACTAAAGATGCTGGTGCCATCGCTGGCTTGAATGTTATGAGAATTATTAATGAACCAACTGCCGCTGCTATTGCTTATGGTTTAGACAAAAAAGATTCAGAAAAAAATGTTTTAGTATTTGATTTGGGTGGTGGTACTTTTGATGTATCATTGTTAACTATTGATAATGGTGTATTTGAAGTAGTTGCAACAAATGGTGATACTCATTTGGGTGGTGAAGATTTTGATCAACGTGTCATGGATCATTTTATTAAATTATACAAAAAGAAGAAAGGTAAAGATATCCGTAAAGATAACAGAGCCGTTCAAAAATTAAGACGTGAAGTAGAAAAAGCAAAACGTGCTTTATCAGCAAGTCATCAAGTCAGAATTGAAATTGAATCATTCTTTGAAGGAGATGATTTCTCTGAAACTTTAACTCGTGCCAAATTTGAAGAATTAAATATGGATTTGTTCCGCTCAACATTAAAACCCGTACAGAAAGTTCTAGAAGATGCTGATATGAGCAAAAAAGATGTACATGAAATTGTTTTGGTTGGTGGATCAACAAGAATTCCAAAAGTACAACAGTTAGTTAAAGATTTCTTCGGAGGCAAAGAACCATCACGTGGTATCAATCCTGATGAAGCTGTTGCTTATGGCGCTGCAGTACAAGCTGGTGTATTATCTGGTGAAGAAAACACAGAAGCTATTGTATTATTGGATGTGAATCCTTTGACTATGGGTATCGAAACTGTTGGTGGAGTTATGACAAAATTAATCCCAAGAAATACTGTTATTCCAACAAAGAAATCACAAATTTTCTCTACTGCCTCTGATAATCAACATACTGTTACAATTCAAGTTTACGAAGGTGAACGTCCAATGACTAAAGATAATCATTTATTAGGTAAATTTGATTTAACTGGCATTCCACCAGCACCACGTGGCATTCCACAAATTGAAGTTTCATTCGAAATTGATGCTAATGGTATTTTGCAAGTATCAGCTGAAGATAAAGGTACAGGTAATAAAGAAAAAATTGTGATTACAAATGATCAAAATAGATTAACACCAGAAGATATTGATCGTATGATTAGAGATGCAGAGAAATTTGCTGATGAAGACAAAAAATTAAAAGAACGTGTTGAAAGCCGTAATGAATTGGAAAGTTATGCTTACAGCTTGAAAAATCAAATTGGTGATAAGGAAAAATTAGGAGCTAAATTATCAGATGCTGAAAAAACTAAAATGGAAGAAGCAATTGATGAAAAAATTAAATGGTTAGATGATAATCAAGATGCTGATCCATCAGAATATCAAAAACAAAAGAAAGAATTAGAGAGTATTGTACAACCAATTATAACTAAATTATATCAAAGTACTGGAGGTGCACCACCACCAACTGGAGGTGAAGATGAAGAAGATCTTAAAGATGAACTGTAAAAAAATAGAAATGCAATTTTCATTTAAGAAAAAAAAAAAGAGCAAGAAAAATAGGACTGCATTAATCTTTGATTAATATTAGCATTTAAATTAACTAAATTTAAAAAAATCGTTTTAATGTAAAATATTAGGCTTTTTTTTCAGTTAAGCTATTTATTCAAGATAATTTTTTGTTTTAATTAATTTTTTTTTTTTGTTTAATTAACTAAGTTTTGTAATTTTTAAAACTATCATACTTAGAATGACTCACAAAGTAGAGTTAATTTATAATTCAAATTTAGCTTCATTTACATTTCATCTAAAAGAAAATTGTCTTTATTTGATATACTTATTAAATTTTGAACTTAAATTTCTAAAAATTATTACAAAAAAAAAACAAATCTTTATGAATTAAAAAAGTTAAATTTCATATTAATTAGTAAATCATATTAAACAATTTTAGTATTAATTCTGTTTTGGATCATTGACTATTAAAATGCGGGTGATTTAATTAAAACTTAATTATAAATTTTTATTGCAAAATGGAAAACAAAGAAAGCGAAAAAAAATATTAAATAGTTTTTATTAAATTCAAAACAGAATTATTAAAATTTCAATTTAAAACTTTATGTAATATCCTAACTAGAATTTTTCCTCTAATTAGTTTACTTGCGTTTATGACTGATATGTGGAATCAAAAAATTGTATGAATGTAGAACTAACTTTTTTTTTAAATTAAAAAATTAAACAAAATTTTCTTTTAAATTAGAGAAATTTAAATGTTCTCAAAAATTATTTTATAAGTATCGAATATTATTAAGTATGTAATTATTGAATAATATTTGAGATTAAATTTAATTTAAAAAAATTATTGTTTTGTGAATGATTATGAATGTGTGGAATTATTGTGAATAATTCATTTTTTGTAAACTTAAAAAGAAAACAAAAATAATAAAAATTAAAAAAAAAATAAATTTTTTACTTTCCTACTTTTTTTCAAAAATCTCAAGTTCCCAGAAATTTTTGCATATTAAAAATAAATAATTTTTCAGCAAGTTCTACAATATTGATTTCATTGGAGGTGTTTGGGAAATCCTTTCCTAGACATAACTAATCTTGAAGCGATGTAATAACGCCAAAAATACTTGTATAAACAATAGATGACGTGTTCTATTTACAGTTTTTTTTCTATATTATTGAAAAAATAATGCAATTGATTGCACAACTTTACACGCAGCCTGTCTACGCATATGTATGTATATACATGCATAAGTATAATTTGAAGCAGAATTCTTTAATGAAACTAAGGTTAATAACCTACACGTCAGTAGTTTAAATTGTTACGTGTTTAATATGCTGAAGTATAACGATTCTTTTTTTTTGTCGATATATCTTCAAGGTAAATAGAACGAAAAAAGTTTTGTTGCTATTCTCTAAATTTTACTCTATTAGAATAGCCGGTTGGTTAATTTTGCCGCTAGTGATGGGACATTTCTATATTTATAATCTTATGATAATAATTAAAAAAAATAATGCGAACGCATATTTTTAATTAAATAAGAATAAATTTAAATATGAAAATAAAATTAATATATTATTTAATTAGATATGTAGGTAGACGCATGCAAATTATTTAATAGAAATATGGATTATGTATTCTAAAGCATGAAAAATATACTATGTATTAATATAGACTTTAAAATAATAGTATACAGTAGAAATAATAAAAAGTTATATAAGAAATAAATTGATATAAGACTTTATCAAGGACACGGCGTATGAAAATGAATATTATTATTATATTGTATTTGGGGAATGTTGTGAACGTAAGAAATTTTACATACATACATACATGCATAGATAAAATTCAGCGATAGTTCTATCACTATATTTAAGAATAATATGGACACAGTGAGGAAATAATATTATTCTTTTTAGATGAAGTAATCGGAATTAAATATAAAAATAGATTTTGCTTTTGGCAACGTGGTTGATACATATGTATATGAATTCATTGACTTGAATACAATATATACATACGTATTTATATAATAAAATATTTTAATTAATTTTAAATACAAACATAATATTCAAAATTGTGTACAATATAATATAAGTATATAAAATTTGAGACAAAAAATTGTTTGTTTGTTGTGATATAATTATACTAGTTTTTTTTTATAAGTGATTAAAATAAGAAAATTCATAAAAAAGAAGAATGAAACCGGTTTCTTATGTTTCTTTAATTTATCACTTCTTCTATTTCCATGCTTATTTTCTTAAAATTTAAAATTCTTACAGATTGTCATAATCAAAAGTCACGGAGAATTTATAAAAAGTCTCGTGCATGCGAAAATTATTAAGAAAACTTTTATTACATTATAATATAATACTTTGATATATATAGGTAGGTAGATAGGTAGGTACATAATTATGTTATATTTAGCATGATCGGTAAGTTTAACGCTGATCATTTTAACGGATACAAAAATTTTTATACATACTAGAATTTTTGTTTTTTAAAATTATTTGCATATATTTAAATTTTGTAATTAAAAAACTTTTCTAATTAAACTTTAATTTTATAATATTGAATTTAAAAAAAAATTGCTAACAATAATCAAATTATAATACCAATTTAAGAACCTTTTAAATGAATAATTTCTTGTGGTACCAAAATGTTGATTTTTTAAATACTAAATAGACATTATACTATAATCACTTACCTTCATCTACAGCAACATTCATATTAAAACACTTCTATTTCAGAAGAATTCCAGAACAAGAATGAAAAATTGGAATCATTTAGATTTTCAAAAGAAGACACTACATATAATGAGTTTTTAAAGGGCTGTTAGTCAATCTCAGTTTTTATTATTAAAATATAAATTCTGCTTAATATATTGTGTTCTATTAGAGATTTAACTAAGAGATTTTTATATTTTATTAATTATTTGTCCAATACCCTTCAAAATGCAGACCCATTTTAATATGTTAATTATATATATGTACATAAAAATCATGCCTCTATAATATTATAATTTCCTTCATCTTTCAGGTTGGAATAATCCCAAGTTATTAATTGTATGAGTTATTTAAACTAACTTCAGTTAGCAACTTTCGGCCAACTGCATGCTATGTTTTTTGTATTTAATCTCTATGTACCTAGATCTACATAAACAATAAATAAATGTATCTATATAGATTCAAATGTATATTTTTGAAATACTCACCATAAGCTTATTTAAATAAAAAAAAATTATCAGCAAGTGAAAAATTATTTGAAGCTAAATAACACGTCATGTATTTGGCTGTACATACATACTACACAAATAATTAAGTATGTATGCATGTGGTTTAAAAATGCTGACAAAATGTTTGTCTGTTTGTCTTTTCTGTGGTAAAAATGTGACAAAAATTTAAAATTATATAAAATTATTCATTACCAAAGAGAATATTGAAATTTTTATAACTATAACAGCAAAAGAAAGTGCCTAAAATTCGCACACTTAAATTTTTCATACATAAGATACTTTGTAAAATGTATGTACATATTGTGTATGAAGGTACTAGGTTGAAATATTGTTTGAAATCGTTAGAAGAATAATATATGTATAGCGACCTAAATAATCAGTACTCGCTTTAAAATTATGAAACCATGAAAGAATTACTGTTGAAAAGAAAGTTTTAAAAGAAATAGAAACAAAAAAAAAGAGGAAAATAATAAAAGTTCAAAATTTTTTTTAGTGATCATTAAAATTTAAAGTATTAGAATATATTATACATACAGCCACTCCACAAAAATGTACGTACTTCGGTACATAACTTTTATATACTTACATACATGTAGCTTTCGAAGTTTTACTTTGATTTTCCCTTTTGTATTTCATACAAGAATTAAAAATGAAAGTTTTATGGCCTTCTATCAGAGTTTATTGTAATGAAAATATTACAGAAAATTAATTTTTTTAGATTTTTATTGTACTCAATTTTGACACTATCTTTTAATATTTCATATGTTTGTATTTATGTAATCTACAGATTTGGTAACCCACTTAATATCTTATCTAATTAATATCAGTAATAGATATAAAAAATTTATAACATTTAAGCAAAATAAATGTAGGTGTGTGTATATCTATAATAAGACAATATTACAACAATATTTCTATTTTTTTACCGTTATATATATTATACACCTATGTAGGTTTCTTAACACTAAATCAACAATCAAGAAAATGCAAAATTTTTATGTAATACAAAAAAGAGGGTTTAGGAGCCCAATTTATTAAGTTGAAAATTTTTTTAAAATTCAAGATTTGTGAGATTATTTTTCCAAAATTTAAACAATTGACTGGACAAGACTGTATCAGTTCTCATTAAAATCAATCGAAGTAGTATAACTCTGTAGAAAAATCCATAAATTCATATAATTTTCTATTTCTCTAGATAAAACTAACTTTTGTGTTATTTCCAAATTTTACAAAATTTTATTCTTTAGTGAATTCCACAAAATTTGATTAATAACGAGTCTTTCAATCTTATTTAAATACAAAATTTTTAACTTTATTAACATTTTTTTCTATTTTTTAGGATCCAGATTTATTTCGGTACCATATAAATCCAACTATAACTGAAGAAGATGAAAATCCAATGCATATATTTTATAAAAATCAATTTGAAACATGTATTGAAATATGTAAAAATAATTCAGAATTGCATAAATTTTTACCAAATTTAGAGGAAATAAATAAAAATTTAATAATTAGAATTGCAAATATATTTAAGAAAAATAAAAATGGTATTAATGTTTTAAATCATGGTGATGCTTGGGCCAATAATTTTTTATATAAAATGAATACTAATGGATCAGTTGATGAGGTTCTTATGGTAAATATTTTAAATATTTATGAAATTTCATTAATTGCATTAATTTTTATTTAAATTTTATTTTTATAGGTTGATTATCAAGAAGGTATATTTGGTTCACCAGCAATTGATTTACTTTGTTTTATATATTCATCATGGTCAAAAGAAACTTATATTAAACATAAAGATGATTTAATTGAATATTATATAAAAAAATTAACAGAAACATTAGAAACATTAAATTATGATGGTGTAATTCCAACATTAAATGATATTATAGAAGAGCTTAAATTAAAAAGAGATCATGGTATTGTTACAGCTACGTGCCTTTTACCAGTTTATATGACTGAACATCCTGATTTAGCTGATCCTACAAATTTTATAATGGATAGTGAAGAAGCCAAAGAAATTCGTATAAAATTGATGAGTAATGAAAAATTTTTTGATAAATTAAAATTATTCTTAAATGGTCTATTAGAAAATTGAATTTTAAGTGAAAATTATCTTTTTTTTTTGTTCTTCATAATGCTCTTGCATTAAAAGATGTTTTAATTTTTCTTTAATTTTTTAAAATTTTTTAAATTTATAATCAAACCAAGAAAATTGTTTAAATTCAACAATAAAATGTATTTATGTTATTTTACTTCCATTAAAAATTACTTTTATGTTTTTTTTTTTAAAATATATTGAATAATATTACACCCATAATTGTTATTTGTTTTAGTATGATTATTTAATTATAATAGTTAAATTTGTCACAAAATAAAATATTAAAAGAAAAAAATATTTTTCATTAAATTTTTGTATAATTTCTTTGTAAAATTATTAATAAATGTTATTTACTAATATAATAAAAAAAAAAAAAAGAGTTTTGACTTTAATCTTGAATAGATTGGAATTGATATTTTAATAATTTGAATAAATGCTTTGTGAGATTATAAATTTGTTTCTAATTCGGTAATTTTACAAACTACATCAAATTATAATTATTATCCCCACAAATTTTGAATATTTTCAAGTAATTAATGTAATTACAATAATTATATAAATTAATATTATAAATATAAATAATATAATATAAAAATATTTAACAAATGTGTATATATATATTGACAAAACACCTCAAACAATTTGACACAAATGTGTAAAATTTATAATTTCTGAAAACTGAAGATCTATTCCATGTCTTTGGACATAACGATTAAAATAATTTGGAACAAATTGATAAATCAATAATAATTTTTTTAAAATCTTCTTAAACAGCTTATTGGTAGCAAAATATATTTTTATATTTTATAGTAAATTTAAGTTATAAAGTTTAAATATATTTTATTTCAATTAGGTAAATTACTTTTGTCAAGAAAATATTTTTAGCAATTTTAGATATAAATAATATTTAATTATTGTGAGATATGCTCCTTCTAAATTTTATAGTATACGAGCAGAAATTTAAGAATGTCATATTATTTGAACAATATTTATTGATATTATTATTTATAGTTTTTATTGACAATTTTATATTATTATTAATTGATCATATAACGCATTATAATTATAGTTTTTAAATTAAATAATCCTGTGCGCATAATTCTATTTATTGCAGCTAAATATATAATTCTTTGAATAAGAAATGAGAAGTTGTGAGGAAGTAGTTGAAAACATATTCTTTGGCTATAAGTAAGTATGTAATCAAATAAAATCAGATTTTTATACAACAATATGCTATATTTAAATAAGCATGCTGTTAATTTATCTTTTCCTAACAGACTTCATATTGTTTAAACCCATATAAAAAATATGAAAATTAAATTAAAATAAAGAATTCAATATATGCTAACAAGATTCTTTTCTCTTTACAAATCAAAATAAAATTTTAATATCTCATAAAATTATTATTAAAAAAATCCCGTTATTATAAATTAAATTTCCGTTATTATAATAAAGCTTTTATAAATTATCCCGTTCATAAATATATATGAAAATGTATATAATAACTGGAGCTCTGACTGGATTTGACAATTTGTTTTAACTATGGCATATATAAGCATATTCTGCTATTATAATGACATTAATCATAAATTTAATTTAAAAAAATAAATTATTTTACTATACAATATTATTTTAAATATTTTATAATTTATTTGTTTCATTTTTATTGATAAGTTTTTTCCTAAAAGTTTTTATTTAAAGAAATTCTCAAATAATTTTTAATACAATATTTAATTGAAATGTCTGTAGTTTAATTTAGGTATATATATTATTAATTTGTAATATATAATATAATAAATTTATGTATATAATTATATATATAAATATGTAGATTTGAAAATTAAGTTTGTATATATATTTTATTTATGCATGTACCTATATTTAATTTTGAAATTTATTTTTTTTAGAAGTGTTCAATATACTTATATAAAATATTAATTTTTTATAATATTTTAAATATTCCTTTGTATAACACTAGGTATTAATTATTATTTTTATTCAATGTGTTATATTATTATTGAAAATATAGAAAATATCCATTTGAATTTTTTTAATTTTTTCGAATACTTTTCTTGTATAATAAATATAAGAATTTATAAAATAAAACTTTGTGTTTACTGGTGTTATAGAAATACACACGCAATAGCCGCATATAACAAATTATTAAATCTATATATCATGCAGAAATTAAAATATAAAATAAATTATAAAATTTAATTAATCTCTTATATTTTCCTAAATTTAATTTTATATTTCAATTAATTAATTTGTTATAGCTATTATAAAAAAAATATTAAATATTTTTATAATTTCAATTTTTTGAATATTATATTTATAATTTATATAAAAAATTTCAATTATGTCAAAATAGAAAATATATAGATAGATGCAAATAAGACATTTATGTATTTAATAATGTATTTGTATATATGTATAATTATATTATTAAAAACTTTAAACTTTAGATGCAAAACAAAACTTTATTTAATTATATTTTATTTTTGTATTGTGCAGAAGGGCTTAAAAATACATATTATATAAGAGAGTAGAAAAGATTCTAAAAGTTTTTTTAAAAATTTATTTTTAATTATAAATTCGTAAATATAGTATAACAAAAAAAAATATGTGTATATCAGCCGAAAATTTTTTAACTATAGACTAAAAAAAATTTAAATGATCTTCATTATTTGAATAATTGATTTTTAAATACCTATTAAGATTAAAACGTTAAAGTGATTATAAAAGACACTGCTGCCACAAAAAGTAAGCAAGTTTGAAGGAAAAATAACTGTTCTATATACATTTTTTTATTTAACAAAATGCATGATATGAGAAAAATGAATATGTATAAATTAAAATTAAAAAATTATTGTCAATTATACTAACAGTGTAGAACAATAGGAGTAGTAAACAATTAGAGTGTTAAGAACAGATATATTAAAAAAAAATAATTATTTTTTATATAACATTTTGGATAAACTAAGAACTTAATACCAATTTTGTTATAGTAAGTAAATAACATATACTTAAATTATTTACTTATTATCGGAATATAGGATTAAATTTAGAAAATGTACATAATTTAAGCAATTAAATACCACTATCACTTATTCATTCGATATTCAGAAAAAGCCCCAATGAAATAATTAATATATGTAATAGCTGTATCATCATTGTTTTATTTGAATTATAAGCTCAATGACAAGTAATGTAAGAAACCATTAATACAATGTTAGGTCATTATTCATTCTATATGTAAAATTTTTTAAAATAAATTCTCATTTATATTATGCACCTGTTATCGAAAATTGTTAACGTACTTGGGAAGATTTTACAGAACAGGTTACAAGATAAGAAAAAAATTCTTAGAATGTATATGAGCACAACAGGCCTGGTTGGCCTATGTGTATCCTTCGTACATGAGCTACATAATATGCTGTACATAAATCTATGTAATACAAATGCGTATTTTATGCTTCTACTTACCTAAATTACTATAAACTAAACGCATTTTTAATAATATGATTTATTTTTTTAATAATTTTAGTACATAAATAATTACAAAATTTTTATTTTTTAATGTTTAATAACAGGAAATAATTGGGTAATAAAAGGCTGCCACTAGTATATTATACACTCAATTTTTTACTTTTGCAGTTTTTTAATGTCTTGAAATTATGAGTTAAAAAACAGTTCATAAAAAGGTACTGGAGTTGTTCTTCAATATTTGAAATTCTATTTCTATTATGCTTCTCTTTTAATTTATAATATTTTTAGAGTAGTTATAAAAGAGTTTAAAGACCCTTAATTCTTATAAAAATAAAACAGCTGCAAAATTCGAATGTCTCTTTATGAGAATAAAGAGCAAATTCCAATATGAATTTTGTAGCTAAAATTTATTAAACATACTATTTTTGTAGATTTTACAACATGGATTTATCGAACGTGCTTTTTATTAAGTATGTATGTTACAATTGAAATGTCCAAAATGCTCGTCGTCTTAGATCAGAACTATACCACTTTTGACTATAGAATTTAGTATTATTTTTTACTGATGTGAAAACATATAGATTTGAAAAATTTGTAATACAAAATCATCCTAAGCTGCAACTTTTTAAAACTTGTGCTAAACTGGTTTTAAGATTCAATTTCTATTCGTAAAGAATAGAATTTAAAAGGATGGTAAATTTTAACTCATAACATTTTATTTAATTCTAAAACAGTATGAGAGAGATCAATGAAAAAAACCAGTTTATATCGCTCTCTTGAAAAATTATCAGATCTCTAGAAGGTTTAGATCCAATTAACTCTAGAATGTTTAGATCCAAAGCGATATAATACCCTTAATTCTTATAAAAATAATACTAAAATAATTATGATAAATGTTTTAAATTAATTCTACAATTTTGGAGACATTTAATTAATTCTACAAATTTGTTTACCAGGTTCTTGCTGAATAAAAAATATCGCCTGTTATTGTTTTCAAAAATTTTATTTAAGTATGTATATATAGTTGTTATTTATAATAAAATTTAAAGTTAAAATTATTTATTTTTTAAAACTTTATTTTTTTCATTTTCGAAATATGCTATTGCTTTTTAAAACACCATAAACCAAAATAATTATTCAATGATAAAAAATCTGGTTTGAAAGTAAAATGCCATTAGAATTAATTAATTTGTTTTATTTGTGTAAAATAAAAAATTTTATAATATATTGCAATAACTATAATATTAAACTATTCTCGTATGCAAATTTCAAATCTCGGCCATGCTTAAAAATAATTCATATATAATAGAGTATTCGTAATATATGTACATAATGAGTATATATTTTATATTAGTTTAAAGTTAAAAAAATTAGTTTTTAAAAAAAATAATCACACTTATAAAAAGATGACACTTGATGTACGAGTATATGTTATAATTCAGTTGTATTTATGTTGACATCGGATTCAATGTGACGTGCGTTATTCATCATCGGAAACAAGGTTTAATAATATATATATATATATATATGTACACTAAGTTCTCGAGATACGACATTTTTGGTTCCAGAAATTTATGTCGTAACTCGAATTGTCGTTTGAGGAGGAAAAAAAATGTATTGAAACAAAAAGTGAATTAGACAAACTATGTTATAAAATAATTTACCTTTTTTTTACAAAAAGGTAACAAAGTTTGAAAAAAAAACAACAAAATATAATAACAAAATCAAAAAAATTCAATAATGTAACAAAAATAAA